TCATGGGATTGACATTCCATCAGGAGTCTTGTTCTTAGAGTTCACATGGCTATATCCAAAGTTGGAGGAATCCATATATCCCATGGCACTGGTGCCGGAAGGCATCGGCATGTTGGCAAGACGGGTTGCCGCATCTGGAAACTCACTACCACACATGGAAACTTGATCCCACTCAGTGTAGCGCGGACTGGAGTCCTCAGAGGTCAGGCGACGCTTCGTAGCATCGGACATGCCACCCTTTGGGTCAGGATCATCATAGATACCCTGGAGCTCTTCCATGAACGCCGCGGCTGGCACATGCTCGGCTTTGGAAACCAGAGACTTTCGAAAGCACATCATCACCTTAGGGGTCTGGCCATAGGCGATAGCACGGTGCAGCAAGCCAACGGTCGCACTCACTTCATGGTCAGTCAATGGGCCATCCACTGACTTCGATGCCTTTTTGCAAGGCTGAGACATGGCTGATCTCGGCGTGCACAGGTTTCGGAAAAACTGTACTCACCCTTTTCGGATGTTCGGCAGGTTTGAGGTCACTGTTGATCACAGCTGCACAAGGAAAAACAAAAACCTTCTGCAAACAAACTGTTTTTACAGGCTCGGCACTAATGCAGAATGGCTGGGCTTGCGGCTTATTGATCTTACAGTCACTTATTTATTTAATTATCCCCTTCCCCAGACTATGTGGCTATTATTGTCTTAGACAACTTATAGGCTATTTCACGACCACATGCACAGGCTATACAAAGAGGGAAAAACTGCAAAACATGCTGGGACCCGGCTTCTGAAGGACCCATCACTGGCTTTGTTGTTCTTGCTTTTCTTTGCGGCCCGACTGAGAACATATGGTAATTTCATAGGTATGTTGTTCGAGAATCTCGAAAAGTGGCTTTGTATCGCCCCGCAACTTTGTAAGGCAATCGGCACTCATACGAAGATTATTCACCCAAAATACCAAGATATTCTGCTTCTCAGTTGTTTCTTTTGCTATTGAATAGTCTATCTGGAGGCGTTTCTCCTGACTTATGGCTTGGCTACAACAGCTTCTAGTTACTGCATCAAAGAACCCTTTACTATCAAGAACAAGAGCTGAGGGATTTTCTGGAGTCATTTCTCGGAAGGCTTTTGGAGTAATCCCATACAGTGTTTCAAGCATGATAGCCTGGAAGGCTTCGATGGCGTCAAGACCGTTTTGGCCAGCAAGTGTCTCTGCTGCGGTCGATGATCTCACAACTCGGCGAAGCTTTTTGCTCTGCCAATCAACTATCCAACACAGGGCACGTTTTCTTTCAAACATGGCGGGAACTGTCAGGCATAACAGGTACCCACCCTGGCTTTCGCCATTTGCACGTGTGCCCCATCCTGCGTCAGAGATACACATGATTCTCATTTGTTCCAAAGGGATACCTGGAGGAAAATGCAAACACACTTTACGCTCTTTCATCTCGCGAACAGATTTGTTGTACATCTGCAAGTGGCTGACATCACCTTTATCCTGAATACCCTGAAGGAATGACGCAAGGAAGGATTGGTCGGGACGTGTTGCATTTGCAACCCAAGCTAACTGGCCAGCACAAGTGCGCATGAGGGATGCGTCTTTCAGTGGTGTGGACGCGGTTCCATACTGCTTGGTTGGGACTTGTTCCAAGGCATCTATATAGCTTTCTCGACCAATCTCTATGGCAAACGTTTGGGGGTTTTGCCTGATGTCTATTCCCGTGTACCTGATGGTATGAGTTCGGAAATCCCCAAATGGCAACTGCTTTCTGAGGTTTTGAAGAACTTGATCCATCTCCGAAGTTCCCCCGCCTATTAGGTCATCTACGTGTACCCCACATACTCCCAGTAATTTTCCATCTTTTCTGAGAACATACAAACAGGGATCTAATTTGCTTACCTGCAGGCCGGCAGCAGCAAGTTCTCTAGACAATCTCATGAACCATGCCCTTGGTGCTTCAGCCAGTCCATAGGCTGCTTTTTCAAGACGCATTAGGTCGGAATCATCTAAGTTCATCCACTGTTTAATTTCTTTTGGGGGTTTAAAGTAAATGTCTCTAGTGGCTGGATCACCGGAAAGAAAGGCTGTTTTTATATCTGCTCCCCACAACTTCCATTTTTGAGAGGCACATATCGTGAGGATGAGATGTTTGGTTTCCTTTCTAAGGGTTGGAGAATCCGTCTGGATATGTCCTAACTCTGGATCTTGCCATCCAACAAGTACTAACCGTGCTTTTGGGGTACGGGATCTATCATCTGGATCGCTGCTTTTCTTCCAGACCAAAACCCAACGTGCTTTGATTATTCTTTCGGGGGGAATACCACGACTTTTGCATATGGATGTTACCTTATTCTCAATCCAAGAGTTCCATTCTTTTTGCATGGCACCTTCAAACAGTTTACGGTCGTGTGGTGACAACTTTCGGAGGTTTACTTCGACCCTTCTCTGTTTGGCTTTTGGGGTAACCATCAAACATTGATCAAGTACCTCCCACAAACATAGTGGATTTTCCGTGATATCTTCTGGAAGAACATTCATGGAAACTTCAAGTACATGACCCTTGTAAACATTTGATGATCCACTTACCATGAGATCTTCATCATCCGGAACAGGAACTTCTATGGCCTTTTGAAGGTCATCCATTGCTTGATCCTCGACAGGCTGTTGAGGAGTTTCTATATCAGGCAACGCATCCTCTGACATCGGCTGATCTGGCGAATCTACTGGAGTGCCAGGCATTTCCTTGGGTGTGTCAGCAGGTGTGGTTGGCTCATACTGTTCAACCTCAATTTCAGGATCTATGGTAACCCTTCTACGCTTTTCATCATGCGCAGCTTCGTCGGAGGGTGCTGTCGGATCAGGCAAATCGGACATTGCACGGGCAATTCTGGGCTGTGGCCCTTCATGCAAAACACCTAATGGCGGTGCTCCAGCTGCACGCTTTCGCCAGTACTCATCAGATCGTGAGATACGGCGTCTGATTTTTCGTGGGCCGCCCTCCAAATCATCAGGGGGATCTGGATCATCGTCATCATCATCATTGAAATCTTCCTCTAGTTCCATGTCATCATCTTGGGGTTTGTCTGGAAGTAAATCAATGAATTGGCCGGCCTTTTCACGAAGTGACTCGGACGCACGTTCCAGGTCAGGCGAAAGTTGTCCTAGGGACAGTTCACGTGTCAGCTGCCGGAAAGCAGCTTCATCATCCGGCAATGGACGCAATCCCTCTGGTGAACAACGGTAAAGGTAACCATTATATGACACCCAGACTAAACGGGGAATAGGACCATTGCGAGAACTTTCCATACCAATTATCCTACCAGGACCTATCCATGCTCCATGTCTGGTGGCTAGCATCCCTTTTGCGGTTCCCCTGCCTTGTCTTCTATACATATAGACCATTTGACCTTGAACATATGGGCCACGCATGGGGGTGTTTCTCCCAGAGATAGCTCTACGCCGTGTTTCCTTGGCATGCTCTTCGAGGAAGGCTTTTGCAGCAGCATCTCGGTGTCTCATGTTGGCTGCAAATGAATCATCGGCTAAAACTTGGGACTGTGACATGAAATTGCGTTGTTCATCAAGATCATGTAAAGACCCTGCATGCCTAGACTCTCTACCAAGAAACCATTGAACTGGGGAAAAACCACTTTTTCTCATCTGCTCATTTCTTATGGTGGCGCATGTTTCAATCACTTCCTCAGGGGATGCGTCGGGACAAGCAAGCCAGACACGCTGTGCCATGTTTCGCAAAATGCGATTGGCTACTTCAACTCTACCAAGTTGCCAGTGGCTCTCTGCTGCTGAATGCAACAACTGGACATCGTGTCGAACCAAGTACCTTTGGAAATCTGCTGAAATTGTTCGGTGATCAGGATCCATATAAATGGTCTTTGGGACACCATACGGACGTGTCCAGGCTGCATGGAAAGCTTTTGACAACCCGTGTGGACCTGGCTGTACAACAACCTGCTGGCAGAAGTCTGTGGCCAAGTCAACAACCGTGAGCACATTTCGTTTGATCTCGATTGTCCTACCGGATGCATCTTCTCGGATTAGTTCTACTTGGACATAATCAACACCAACAACTTGATTTGGGCTCTCGGCATGCTGAACTGTGGCTTTGCGATGGGCTTTTGAGTTCGTCACAAACTGAACATTTGAACTCCTTGATGGCTTGCATGATTGCTGGAGAAGACTGGCACCTATTGGCTAACCGTTTCATTTGTTCTGGAGAAGAATGGCCAGTATTCACGTGCACTTTCTGGACTAATGCACGGGCTCGTTGCATTTGAAGGTCTTTGGAAACCTGATGGTCGCCCTCTTTGTTTTCAACTGCTTCTTCCAACTCGGCAAGTTCATCATGATCTTCAGCCAAGATATCTTCAACATGTTTATTCCTAATTTGTGTTTGGGGACCATTAGGAATCATCAACTTGACTATGATCTTACAAAACTTGAGAGGGTATGTTTCGGCCCAAATAGTCAGGTTCCTACCTTTGAACTTCCCAGTAAGGTGTTCATGAACATGCCTGCCATCACACCGACAACTTACAAGTCCTAGGGCGAGCTGCTGCAGCGTCGTCACAATTCTTGTCGGCTTCAGGACAGGTTTGTCCGTATTGGGTGCTCTCAAACCCATAGCGCATTGGTCAACTCGGACTTCCCATGCTTGCTCCAAAGACAACTCGGCCCATGCCAGAGACGACAATGGATTCTCAGCATGACAGTGTCCACCCAGCGCACATTGGAGATTCCAAGCTTCTGAAACATTATGCAAGTATCTGCGTGCCACTGCACGTTCATGCATGATTAGTTGACATGTTCGTGGATTCTTGCTCATGTTCAAGCGTGTCCATGGACCCCAATGCTTGCAGGGAAAGCTAAACCACAAGTGATCAGGCCGGCACCAGGCTATTAAAAGCAAGAGACATCGGCGATCATGCAAACGTGTGAAGTCCTGCCCGTACTTAAGACCAAGTCTAATGGCTGTCTTTCCGGACTGCTTTTCATAGACATCAGACATTCTGGCACGATCAGTGAAATCCTCAATCAAGCCAACTTTCGAATCAAGGCATTTGGCTTGGTCTCCTAGCCAGGTGGCCAGTTCGGCTTTGACTTCTTTTGGATTGGTTGCCAGGCGTGACAGCGTCAAACGAAGTGTTGTGTTCCTCAAGGAGTTGAGGTGCTTGCGCAGCTTGGCATTGACGGACTCAGGCATAGGCTGCTGTTGCTCTAAGTCTACCCAACTAACTTCTTCATCATACAGTTGTTCAGTGGTTAAACTATTATCTTTGTTGGGCATGTCAATTATGTCTTCATCATTACAACAAAAACAAGCTGGCTGATTGGCACACACTTCGGCATCTTCGGATCGGCTGTCATTCAAATCGGCACTTGGGGAAACTGCTGGTGAATCAGCGGCTACTGACTCAGCTGACATGTATGCAAAAATTGCTACGCTCATTGAATTCACAGGCCGTCGATCTGGTGATGGTGGTCTTGTCCTCCATGGAGACACTTGTAAAGACCCAGACAACTCCAGTGACGCAACGGACCCTTCAAAGGCTTGAACATCAGCATGGGGAGGAACCCTTTCTTTCTTAGGCTTATATGCTACGGCTGCATGGATTATCTTCCCCTGTTTTACCCCAAATATCTTTGCCAATTGACTTGCATGGACAACAACATCAACAACCCCATTTTTAGTATTCTTCACAATTGTTTGGAAATCCCTTTTCTTGTCTAATGGAGTGTTATGTTTACAGCTTTTGGAACATGTATGACCCTGGGACTCAGAGTCCTTGGCATTGGATACAACTGCGGATGCAGCGGCATTCGGATTGGGCTCATTCATCTCTGTATGGTCGCACTGTCCAATCTCCAAGTCATGTGGAGGCTCACACAACGGTAACAGCAAATGCCCGTTAGAGGCTTGTCGAAGAGGGGCACAATCAAGACCATGTTTCTTGGAGGAAATAGTTCTATTCTTCAGGTCAATGATGGCTTCCATAGCTTCCAGCACTCTTCGGGACAAAAGGAATGGTGTGACTCCAGGAATGACATAGGTGGTAATGCTACCCTGTAAATTCCCCAAACAAACTGTCCACTTCAAACCAGTTGTAGTTGTTTCGGTCTTCCCATTGAAACCTTTGAGCTCCACGGCCGGCAGTTGCACCTCTTGTGGAAGAGGAAATCCAACATCCATGAAGTGCTTCTTCAGCTGCTGGGCTGTGGCATCACCGATAACGGAGGTAGTGCACCCAGTGTCAATGATTGCATACCCCTGTGGAATCAAAGCCAGGAAAACATCTATTTCTTCGGGGGTCATCTCATCCATAGTCTTTGATTCATCAACCACATAGGAAAAATGCGTAACCAATTCTGACTGGGTATAATTGGCATCCTCCTTCCGGTTCGGAGGTTTCTGATTCCTGGAATCCCGTTTCTTGAACTGGTCCTTGCGATCAGATTTGAAGGGCTTTACAGTGCTTTGTTGGCTGCCGGATGCAGCTGATGCATTGTCAGGGGGCATGGCAACAACTGGATAGTAGGAAGTAGGTCCAGCACGTGATTTCTTGATGTCCTTCACCTTCTTCTTGGATTCCTTGTAAGTTCGAAAACTCTTCTTGAAATCTTTCTTGGCTTTTCGTTGAATCTCAAAAATCTCAGCTAGTTCATCGTCATCACTCTCTACTGATTCTTGAACCTCTTCCCCAACCAGAACATCATTGTCATCCCCATCAGATTCTGATAGTGGTAACTCCAGTGAAGAGCTATCGTCCATCTCTACTGCAAAGGCTTCACGGCGACCAGGCTTTAACTGAGGCTTCTGAAAACGTCGATCTTGTTCACGCTGATCTTCAAGGTCAGATGCACGAAGAATTCGTTCAACATCCAGGAAACGAGAACTGCCACCTGTCGATCTGATGACAAGTGCACGTTGCTCCCTGTTCAAACCAAACTTACGCATGAACAAGTGACCCAAAACTGACTGTGGGAAAATCGGCTTTGGCTTCCGGTGAGAAGGCTCCAGTGTGCCCAGCATGCGTTGCATTTCACGCTGATCTCTGTCACGATCACCTTTTGCAGTACCAGTGGATCTTTTTGTCATGTGGGACTTGCCAGATTTGTGTGAACCCCTAGCTGACCCAAACTCCGATGGACCTCTTGATGGGCCTCTTTCAGAAGGTGTCGGTGTGGCACCTGATCTGGGCGCAGCTTCACTCTTCGCAGCTGCTTTGGGTACAGCTTCAGACGGCTCTGCAGGATCAGCTCCAGATGGTTGCTCAGGCTGAGCTGACTCTGCTGTCGGTTCACCAAGATCTGCATCATCGGTTTGGTCCGCATCATGTGGAGAGCTCGGACTGGATTCATCTAAGGAACTATCGACAGGTGTGGCTGGTTCCAGACGTCGCCGTTCCCCACCACGTTTTCTACGCTTTGCACTTGCATTCTCACGTTCGGATTGGATCAGGGTCTCAAGTCTTGCGAGAGCAGTTTTGAATCTTGCAGAAAATGCTGTAGTGCCTTCTTGCGGCTTCTTCTTGAGGTGAAAAAGGAAATCATCAATTGATTCATGGAGTTCAAATTCAGGAAGGTGTTTGTAATGTTTATCCAAACATATCCAAACATTCCAATACTTTTAGCCAACCTTCTTTCGACCTCACCTGTGCAATTGAAAGATGCTCCGTGCACCTCCAAGCTTCACCAGTTAACCTGCTAAGCAATTTCGGTCCAGCAAGATGTTGATTCTTGTCCTCCAAGGCTGCAACGGACAAAATCACCTTTCTACGAAACTCTCTGTATGACCCAGGCCTGCCATCGAACGTCAAATCCTTAAAAGGATCTTTGTTGTCCACCATCGGACAAACACAACCACCAAAGGACGGGACTGTCCAACCTCACAAGCAATGATTGCAAACAGCTATCGATGCTTCACACCACGGGCACAGTGAAGTGCCTCGTCCAATTTGGCGTCACAACGCCCGGGACCTTACTGCCCCGCTGCCATGATAAACCGAAAGGTTCAAGCGCAAGTCGCGCCCCACTTTTCCACTCACCTGCAACGGAATCCACAGCCTTACACCAATTGGTGCAGGCTCAAGGGCCCTTGGTCCATAGTGGCCACACGAGCATGTTATATTGGGAATGCACCTGAAAGGTTATGAGCAAGCATGCGAACAGCACTGAACTTACCTGCATTTTAACAACCGTATACCCCCTATTTGAGATGATGTACAGTATGGCTTGAATTATCAACGCCCCAAACATGGATAGTTCACCATCAAACGATACTAGAAGTGCCCAATCGTATATAGAATATGTTGGTACCCCAAGTGTCACCCATACATTCAACGGCACCCCTCTTAGCCACGCCTGAAGGCACTCTCTGATTTGCTGATGCCGTTGGTTGTAGCAGCAATCCAAGGATACTCCCGCGGCGCCTCATCGATTCTGAGGACGGCAATGCTAAGTGCGGTCCATTTCGGAAACCCACAAAAAGAAACAGATTGGTTTATTGGCCAGAACCTCTCAAAGCAAGCTTTCCTATGGCTTTGTGTTAAGGATTGTTAAGGCTATACTGCACCTATCTGTGAAGCGAACTGTTGTATTCTCTGTAGTCAAATGGCCCATAGACCAAGGTGATCCTGCGTAAAATTCCCATGATGCTCATTAGAATCCCCCTTGATATTCTTGTATTATAATGTCAACCCTGGATTAATACACTGTGTTGATTCATTAGCAGGGTCCCCATCGTCCTGCATGGACATTAATCCCATCCGCTCATATGAGTTACAAAAAGCCATGGTTTCTGGTGGGTGTTCATCCATATTTAGGGGTTCTTGAAATGGAGGTACCCCCAAAGCATCCATTTTAAGGGAATTTTCCATTGTAAACCCTCCAATTTGGGATACTCCCATTTAATTATGGAAACCACCATTTGGGGAAAGGATCAATGGCCTAAGAAACACCTCTGCCAAGATTCTGGGACAGCAATAGCCCTTCAGGTTCAAAGCACCGCATGTGGGCGTCTCCGAACAGAGCACCGAAGAACTATGCCGCCCCTCAGCGTGGAAGCGCTACAAAAAAATGGTATCCCTGGAGGGCTATATAATCATAGATAAATAGGGATAAATCATAGATTAGCCATTATTAACCTTACCAGTAGGCATGTGATGGATGTGATGATTGAAAAATAAAACAAGGGTTGAGAATTCTGAGTCATGCTTGAAACATCTTGAAACATCGTTGAAAGACATACTAAGCTCGAGGATCCCAGAAGTTTCGGTACATTGAAAATCCGGAGCATCGTACGTCAGGATCCAGTTTTGATGGAGTGTAGGTTTCTTATGAGTTTGCGTTGCAGCTACCTGGTCAAAGATGAGGTCCTTTATTGACCTTGGATACAACATCTTTCAACCATCCAACGCCCACAAGCAGAAATGGGTTCCATTTCCAAGGTCGACAATCAATGCTATATAGCCTAGCATGCCCTTAAATGAAGTGGTTGCATTACATGTGGTCCCATTATTGCTCCAATTCCCTTCAATTTTTGGTCCAGGACAAAATATGTCCAACGATCAAAGGATCCCCAACTTTCCAGACATGAACCATACACAAGGGAGGTACTACCCTCTTGTATCGGACTGGGCCCCTTCAAATCATATATCAAATCATCCAATCTTGTGAAGTATTCTACCCATTACACCCATGAAGTGTATGTATGGATATAACATGATACACATCATCCTAAATCAATGTTCCAATTCGAAATCAATTTCCAATTCTAAATCAATTTCCAATTCTAAATCAATTTCCGATTCGAAATCAATTGTCCAATTCAGAATCAATTTCCGATTCGAAATCAATGTTCAAAGGTGCGGAATTTGGTTCCACACGTGATGGAACCTGCAAGAAGGAAACCCCATCCCATCCAGGTGGCAGTGGGGTTGTTGGCTTCACTGCTACGGTTGGCACCTTGGTGCTGCCAGGCATCACCAACGACCCATAAAAATGCTGCGAAGTCATGATGATTTAGATAACAAGACTGTGCTAATAACGATGAGAACGATGTGCTGATGACAATAATAGTGAAGTGATAATTTCATGAAATTCATGATAATAAATAATGATAATAATTGTAATGACAAAAATATACAGCAATGATAATAATCATAGTAATTCTAGTCGTGAATGTAGATTGAGCTCGGTATATAATGTGGACCAACAATGCTAACACTAACAAAAAAGTCAATCACAATAATGCTGATACAGTAATAATAACACGAAGATCAACGATGTCTCAGGGCTAACCCGTTTTTTGCTCTTCAAAGAGCAGCATCATCGAAAAAACTGTTTGAATCCGACTTGATGTTGAAATTATCTGAGTTGGGATTATTTGAAATCTTAAAAGTCAAAGTCTGTCTTGAATCATCATCTACCAGGGCAGTACTGCATGATAATCAAAGTGTATGTATATAATTGTATGTATATATATATATAGTGTGTATATATATATATTTCATCAAGGGTAAAGAAAATATAGCCTCTGGTAATTTGCCATAGCTATGGCAAATGGCAAATGGCCGATTTATGCCTGATTTACATACCTGTTATTTCAATAACGATAACGATGTTGTTTTCCATATGTGAAAAATTACCAGAGGGAATCCAGGTGTCAGGATCATGGGGGCGGCTTGAAATCACCACCCAGTCCAAGATACTTTGCTTTTGCTGCACATACTTCAATGGGGTAACGGGCTAGTCAGTAAGTCGGTTGTACCCTCAGCTAAAGATGGCTGAAATGAACTAGCCATGGAGGTTTCAATGGGAAAACCATCGAAATAAATGGGAGATTTTCCAGCAAGCCATGTTTGATGACACTGGAGGGTATATACTCAACCATGTACAACCCATTACATCCCAGTTGTAAGGCGATAGAATCCAGTTCCAGTTCCGATGGACGATACACCTCATTTTCAAACACATCCAAGTATTATATACTTGTTGCTTCTATATCCCATTGTATCCCACTCATAATTGTAATATATTGTAATCATGTCATGAATGTCCCATCAAGATCCAACAAAAAAATCCCATTAATATCCCATCAATATTCCATAGATTCCCATGATATGACCCCATGAATTTCTTCGTTAAAGCCCCATCTGCTTTCGCTTCGCACCGCGGGACGTCTTTGGAGCATCTTCAAGGACTCGCAGGACGCATCGTCGTCACCGTCGCAACGTTCATCGTCCAGGGCACCCGTGACATCGAACTGTCGAATGACCCAGCAACGGTTTGCAACGCTACTGGGCTTAATACAGGTGGATATCTCTGGTAATCAAATATGGGGATGGGTCAAAACCCTGGTACCTTTTGTTCACCCCAAGTCATAGCTGGGATTTATGGATGTTCATCCCACTATAGTAATGTATCTATAGGTATTGACCCATACCCATATGGCTAGCTGGAAAATCCCCGAACGAAATCGAACGCTTTTGATGGGAAATTCCGCCAAAAAAATGGTGGATTTTTCAGCCAGCCATTTGATGACGGTAACCGCTAACCACCAACAACCACGGATGTTTATGGCGAATCTGAGCCATCTCTGTGGGGAAGCTTTTTTTGGTGGTTGCTCGAATTCAAAAATTGTGTGAAGCTCTTTGTACCCTCTGGTTATGTCAAAATAGCTATTGAAAATGGCCATTTATAGTGGATTTTCCCATTAAAAATGGTGATTTTCCATAGCTATGTTAAATTACCAGAGGGTAAGTGTACTGTTGGTGATCTCAAGAAAATCCATTGAAAATTCAACGTTCAACGGCACATTCGGCTCTGGTTCAGAAATTGGTCCCTTTACTCGAAACCATCGTCCACTACAAGAATCGTTCCATCTGGGGTACCTGGAAAATATAAAGGTCGACCACTTCAAACGACTTTAAACATCACTAACATCGACCCATACCACAAATCGGAAGAATCTGTTGGGTATGATGAGTAATAAATATGTGGAAACCAATCAGCGGATTAATTTAGGTTCATTGGCTGTATCATCCTAGGCTCAAAAATACAAAGATCGTTGGTCCGTATCCCCATTCATGTTGGTGTTTCTCAGTATTCTTGTTGGAAAATAAATAATCCATATATCATCATATATCTCCATATTGTGTGTCCCAAAGGAATTAGAAAAACTTAGTAACTAGCAACAGCAAACCGCCAGAAACTTCCAGTAACGTTAATCCGCATCGCGGTTTAAGCGACGAGACATGGTCAATTCGCCAGCGAATTTGAGATTTGGCCAGCCAGAATCGGGGATGGAACCGTGTAAAATCGGGGTTCAACCAATAAAATCATCAACAAGTGGAAGGTCACCATCAAACAGTCTTGAAAATCTGGACTTTGACAACTTTGACCATGGATATTTACCCCATGAAAAACCATGAAACATGGGGATTGAGCCGGCCGAAAAAATCGTGGAACCCCAGGGCCTCTTTCAGCTGCGCGAGGGCGCAGAATGTGGCCACAGCAAGGAGCGTTGGAAAAAACGCCATGGCAGCACTAGATGTGGGCTTTCTATGCAACTATCCGAGCTTTTTGCGGGAGATAATTATGGCAACTATCCACAACTAGTCAATTTTTGGCACTTCGTAACTATCCATGTTCAGTTCGAGTTCATCATTGTCAGCCGGTGATGTTCTCGTACAGCCATGATATCATAATGATGTATGTATAGCATTCTATGGTCATCCTGTTTTTTGCGATCTGAGATGTTCTCAAGAAGTTCACTGACTCACCAAATGTCAGTTGCGTAGCACCCCGGGATCAGTCCAACAGCTCACCCAACGGCCCCAAAAGCACTGAGATTGTCGTGACTCTGCTAAGCTGCTGTTCTATACAGTATTATTTCTCAGACCAGCATTTCCATGCGTTTCCCAGTTATCATCATGCATTCGTACACAGATTGACTGATATACAATCAGACAGTATACATACGTACATAATCATAAATATAATATATATATATACATATATATACAATTATAATATATATATATATACAATTATAATATATATATATATACAATTATAATATATATATAGTATATAATATACATGTGGGTCTCATGTGGATTATGATGTTATGGCACCACGGTAAACTGACTTCAGCAGAACAGCCCTGGCCTGATCGCTCCAGTGCAGTTTGGGCGCCGCAATGCCGAAAGGCACTGTGAGGAGCAATACCTCGACGGGACGGTACTAGCAGCAAGTGGGGTTTTTATCCAACAAAAAATGAAGGATTTAATGATTTAATATGACTTAATGGTTAGATTACCAACCAAACTGAGGATTAGAAATAGGTTTGAACCAGCCAAACTGAGGATAAATATATATATATATGATTTAATATGATTTAATATGATTTCTATAATGATTAGATTACCAAAACCTGGTTTTAAAAATTTCTAAAAACATCTAAAAACATAGGATTTGAGCTGAACAATCGGGATTCGACCCTCGAGAATGGGTGATTATGCCAACACTTGGAGTTCAGCATGAAAAATCTGGATGAATCTGGGTATTAGCATCAACAATTGGGAGTTGATCATGAAAACTTAAGAATTGGCAAAGTTGTGATCATGTGTAAGCAGCATTAATATTCAAACCCATGCTCTCCAGCGGTTGACTCCTAGGGCTAACTCCATCACTTCTGACTCCCTTTTGGCCCACGTTTGTGACCAGAGTTCCCGACATTCAGAGGCGAATCAAAGAGCAACTTCCTGAAAATGGCAGCCTTAGAACTGGTTGGTGCCAAATGTGGAGCATCAAGACATCAAGAATCATATTGGATCTGAAAGTGGTGTATTTACCCTCTGGTAATTTAACATAGATATAGAAAATCAACATTTTTAATAGGTAAACCATCTATAAATGGGCCATTTTACATATAGGATAAGGATTAGTAATCACTAGATTTTGAGCTCCAATCCGGCAGTTGGCCCGCTTTTTGTGGATCCAAGCGGCAGGAATTTGGAGTGACGTATATAGTACAGTAGCCATCAACATAGCATACAAAAATAAAGATGTGGGGTAATATACAATGGCCAAATACATATATATATATATTATATTATATATATATAATATATTATATATATATTATATATATATAGTATTCAATATTAATGAAGATCCGATGTGGTGTTGGTTTACTCATGTGGTAAACCAAATCAAAAAAACCATCTGCTGAGGCCCCACACTGGACCCGCCTCAGAGCCAGGAGAGCGAAACATGGTGGAAATCCTGTGCCATGTTGGACATCGTTGGACTATACCAGAGAGTAGCGTCTTTCAATGGATTGGTTTAAGGGAAAATCTACAGGAAACCATGGTTTTTACCATTAAATATGGGGCTTTCCTGTAAATTTTCCCTTAAACCAATCCATTGCGTCTTGGTTTCATTGGGCTGAACCTCTGGTCATCAATATTACAACACAACTCAGGTATCCAACAAGTACATACTGCATGAGATTCTCTTCATGATTTGATTTACAGTGCTTTCCTAAATTGTCCACAAGCTTGCCAAAGGCTTAGTCACATTGATATTTTACCTCTGCAGCAACTGGCTGAGATTCATCCACCAGTCATCACGCCGAAATGGATCATTCATGATCATTCCCAAACGGATCATATACCCATTAATTATATCCCATGGTCACTCATGTTTTGTGGTTAATTGATATCCACACACTTATCATTCCCAAACAAACATCAAAAAACAATCTTATATGATTGCCAATTACAACATCCAGTTGCTATATCTCAGGATTGATAGCACCGCCATGCAATCAATCCCGATAAACAAAAAAAAACAAAAACAACAATTTACCATCATTATTTACCACTATTTTAGTTCTGTTTTTCCTTCCTTTTTGGAAGTTACACCAGTGACATGTCACCCAGTCCCCCGGCCCGACCAAGGCGCATATTTCTTGGGGGCCACGGCACCCGCGGCCCCGCCGGGCTCTACAGGTTTTTGGGCTTCCTGGGGCAACGGCGCGTATGGAAAGGGTGTGCTGATATACAAATTGTGTAGTATCGTAGATAAATATATAATATATATATATATATCATCGAATTGATATGCATCAATGTGAATTGATTATATAATTGATACAATGGTGCACATACAATAATTGTACTGATACTATGCACAGTGGCATACTGGATTTGCCACTTGCAACCTCTCCCAACAGCTCACCCTGCCTGATCTTTTCTGTTTAAAGCCGCATAACCATCCTTATCCTGCAGCGATTTCTGGCCACACGATTTCAGCTGCATTTGGGGTGCAGCAAGTGGGTCTGGGTCGTCAACCAACGAATGGTGACCTCCAAAACGTGAGCTTCGTGCCATTTATAGTGAGTTTTCCCATTAAAAATGGTGATTTTCCACAGTTATGTTAGTTTACCAGAGGGTAAATCTGACCATGCCAGTTGCGTGGAAGGAATTCTGGAGGCACGAAGACAATAAAAATGGTCTTCCTTCTGCCGAATTGCAAACTTTGAAGATCTGAGTATCAAGCGGCCTTCTTGGCTGAAAAATCCGACTGCTATTTTAATCTATTTTATATGCACAACTGGATCTTGACTATGGTTACTAATCAGCTGTAACCTTGGTGACCCAGGCTGCCCCCCAGGCCCCCCTCCTGGCTCATTGCAACCTCAAATCCCTGGGCGCTTTGTGGAGCAGATCGAACTGGAGAAATTCAGTGCGGTCGCCGTTCAGTGCGCTTCCATGAACTTCACCAAACAAATGATATAAATATAAACATGTAACTGTAACCACTGTAACCAAGAAGCTGTTTGGTGAAAGAATGCACAAGTCCAAGCCAATTTTGGACACTGCGAGCTCTTGATTTGTCCATCCCTTTTTGCGAACCACACCTCTACCTCGGGCCTACGGGTGGCAATGATTTCAATGGGAGACCCCATCCAACATGATCCAACTCCCCCATCCTCACCTGACGTGCCAAATCGCAACCGCGCAGGAGTTCGCGCGGGTGCTAAAATGGCCACTTGAAGCATCGATCACCATCCCAAGTGCCGGTCAAAGCAGCAGGTGTAACCATTGACGATGACACTCTTTGCTTGAAAGCGGTGCGTCTTTCACAAAAATCAACTGAGCCATTGAAAATACCCCTATCCCATCTCATTATACCAGTTGGTTGAAACCGGTTTCTGTACTATAGGTTATCATTAGTTATCATAATCCCCAGTAAATTAGGTAGTATAAGTCCCTAACAAATCAACCAGGTATGAAAAGTTCATGGCTCAACTGGATCTGCACAAAATCCACCTTCTTCAGCTTGCCAGTGTCAAATCCCCCAATGGCCTCGCTCCCAAAGGCAGCTCCGGGGGGTCCCATGGGTTGTATCAAACTTTAGAGCCAAGTTTGACCCCATCATGGCTTCGCAAAAGCTGCACCGATTTCGAAATTCTGTGGGTCGGCTTTGGATCATAAAGTCCTACCACTTCAATCAGCATCCATCAAGAAGCTGCAGGAGATTCTCTAGGTGTCCCCACATTGAAGACAGCTGACATGCCTCCAGCCGCAGGAGCCGCTTTCGGTGCCGTCTCAGCCTCCGGGTTGCTGTTTTTTGGATCCCGTTGTGCCTGCAAAGCGTGATGTTGTTCGAAGGAATCAGGCCAAGCTGGTAAATCACAATACCTACAGTTTTTGCATGTCTGGTAGGTTTGTGCAAATTGTCTATCACAACAAGGGCCAAATCACCACCAAAAAAAAACAAGAAGGATAAATGTAGATTGAGTATTAGTACTTCATTACTATACTTCAAACTTGAAACATATTTATATAATATGTAAGAAATCAGCTTACCATCCACAAAACGCGGAGCCTTTAATTTGGCCTTCACCTCTTCCGGCATTCCAACGAAGCCGCCCTGACAGTGCGAAGTGGGTTTGGGACTTTCCCTCGGGTAAAATATATACCATAAAGATAGGGAAATAATATGTATATATATAATGTATGTAGACGTATGCATATATATAGCATATACCAAAATTTGAAAACCAAAAAACATCGACCCACCCTCAACTCACGGATTTTAGCTAGCCACTTTTTTGCAGGTACTCAAGCTTTGACTCACTCTCCAGGCTCGCAAACCGCCTTGGGTGGAGGCGGCCCTTTGCCCTTGCCTTTGCTGGCCTTTGGGGCAGCACCTGAGGAATCCATGTAGATGATTTACCTGGAATTACCTGGTCCTGTAGTCAAACATGGGGATGGGTCCGGGATGGGTAAGAAATTTCTACAGTGCCATTACTGGGGAGCATCCACCAGATTTCGTTTTGGATGGGTCCCCAGTTTCTGCGCTGCTTCTGGTTCCATTGAGTCCCCCCCCCACTCTAGACAACAACCCGCTATCCATGTTGCATCGCAAAAAAAAAGATCTTTCAATTGCCGATGGTTTGCCGGCTCAACCCAATTTTTGGTGGTGAAATCCCATTTTTGATTCTTAAATCCCAACTTTTTGGTGAACTCCGCTCGCCAAGCCTGAAGGAGCTGCTCCTAAGGGGTGGGCGGTGAAATAGTCCAGCGCTGCCTGAGTTGAACAGGAAGTGGTTGTTAACCCATATTCAACCCATATTAACCCATATTTAACCCATATTGACCCATATTAACTATAAGTTTGTCCACTTACTGGTTGAGAATATGAGTTGATGTGTTAGGAAGTGGTTATTGGGCCATTAATACTACTGGGGACATATACTTTACATGGTTATGACCTACCAACCCCTTCGGCCAGGTTCGCAGGTTCGCAGGCGCGCAGCTCCGCCTGTCCCTTGACGTTCCAGATGACACCCATCTTGCAGTTCTCCGCGCACCAGTCCTTGAACTCCTGCCACAAGATGTGAAAATTGGGTGTGGACCTGAAAATTGAGGATTGATCAATTGATTCCCCCCAGTTCTGGCGATTTTACAGGGAAGTTGATGATTCACCGATTTAGGGGTAGCCTGCTTTCAGACTAACCCATGTTGATGCTCCCTGTAGCAAGACAAAAAATCATGAGGACAGGGGATACTGATACTGCACAAGCACATGGGTGAAAAGAAAGTACTCACAAACTCTTATTTTTGATGACTCAGTGTGTGGACAAGTATACTTGTGAATATATGCTGGAGGCTCCGGTCGTCTCCTTCAACGACTCTTTGAAGGCCTTGACCCAGGCAGTCTCCTTTGGAAATGGCGATATGGCGATAACTCATCAGCGCTTATCTGATATCTTAACCACGAATCACTAGGTATCAAGAAACTTTATGTCTACTTTTATCTCTACTATAGATACGACAAAAAAATGCCACCCCTGTTGACCTGTGACAAAAAAAGTGACGACACACCTGGCGCAGTCACTGTGATTCCCCGGTCGATGATCATTTTCACCATTGGCTGTGCAATTTGCTCGGAGTAAATCATCCATTTTCAGACAAACCCAAATCCATTATATAATCATCATCATCATCATCATCATCAATTCATTATTCATTACTTAAATCCCGAATCTTGATCCCCATTTAAAAAAAAAAAAACGCTGGGTAAATGATGTAAATAGCCCATAACAGTTGGATGTTTTCCATGCTACCCCATAGAATCCACCAACTGCCACCACTGGTGGCCTTGTCGACCTTCTTCTGCAGGACCTGCACGTCACTGCGGGCTTATTTTTACCAAACTATGGCTGCAGCAGTGGTTGAACCACCAAAACATGTATGAAAGTCAAGTGGGATCATCAACTCCCAGTATGTTTTTTTGAAAAGAGAATGAACATGAAAAAAGGCCAAAGATGTGCTGAAACCAGCAACCAGTTGGTCAATGCTATCCCAGATGTACATCCATTGAGGGTTAGCATCCCCGGGTACCCCATCGCATGGCCGTATATTGGGGGTGCGTTCCCCATGTCTGGAATATCCCCCATGAGATGTACAAAAAAAATGCTTGGCTTTATCTATGTAAATGCACGTAAATGCCAGTTTTTGTGGCTTAGATAAGTTGGATCCTCCATTCTTCAAGCCGAATCCATGATCCATCGGTTAAATCCCCGCATGTTTCTTGATTAAACCCTAGCCCCATCCCCGAAAACGCCACCCCTTGCCCGCCTTGTTCGCATGAAAGTCAAAGGTCTCCAAGATGCTCTGTACCTCGGCATTTTTAACCATGAACATGGGGTATAAAGTCAACCATTTCTTGGAGGATGCTGTAACCTATATTCAACCAGCCAAAAAACAGATGTAATATGATGTAGTTATCAAATAACATGGATTGATTCAATGAACAATGGATAAAATGGGGATCTATATCACCAACAATAGTAGGCATAGTGGCATAACAACAAAATGAGGATTTAAAAAACCATAATGGTTATAATTATAGGTTAAATCAAGCATTCTACTGGATTAGTAGTCGGATATAAAGGGATTATATGACCAACAATGATATGTGAGTTGATCTGTAAATTGGGTATTTACATGTATTTACGCTAATTAGTAATATAGCAATTCACAATGGAGATTTACACCAATTTAATGCCCTAGCAATGCGGCCAGCGGCAATGTAAGTACTGGAGGAAATCATGATAAACCATAGGAAATTGAGATATCAATTATCATGGCCACTAAATGATGGGGCCATTTTGAGGCTTTCGACCAGTGGAGCTTATTTCGGAAAAAAACACTGAGTCCCAACTATTTCCCCACTGTTCCATTTCAGGAAAATCTGTGGCTTGCAGATTGGTGATGATATCCTGTCTCAGAAAGTGGACACGCCTTCTTTTCGAGTCAGCCGACTATGAGATTGAGGGGGCATCAATGGAACCACATTTTTTCCAACAGTGTGCTTATGGTTCGATGACCCTCCGGTCATCAAACATGGCCAATGGTTTATAATTTCCCCATTTATAGACCATAAACGTGAAACTGGTTTATAATTGTTTATGTCTATAAATGTCTATAATAAATGTCTATAAACCATTGTTTATAATTTGTCTATTCCCCATGGTCATCATTTATAGATGATTTTCCCAGCGTTTTAAAGCTCCATGGATCCATGGTGGGGATGTCCCATCTTCCCATCCCCCCAGCTTCCCGACATGTCCAGGGGGAGACGGCGACGTTACTAACCTCGCGGGCGCGAATGTGTGCGGTGGGATATATATATATATATAATATGTATATAATATACATATGTATATATCAAGATGAGGTCATAAATAGATTCAATGGAAATGGTTTAATTAAGTGAAAATCTACAGGAAACCACGGATTTTCCCATTAAATACAGAGCTTTCCTGTAAATTTTCCCTTAAACCAATCCATTGATAGATATAGACGGTTGAATGTTGAATTTGGTTTGGAGCTTTCAGATCTGTGTCAGAATACGTCAAAATATCAAAAACACATTCTGAAACCAAAGAAAAAATGGGTCCGTCCCAAATCTGCCATTCATGCCATTAATGCCCCCAATAGTTGGCCAAAATGGGCTGTGTTTTGTGTTGATATCAGATATCTTTATACCGGAATCCATTGAACTAGCGCAGCCCCTCTCAACGAGTGGCATGATCACGTTCAGCGATTCGGCTGAAGCTTTCCTGTCGAAGTGATGACATGAAATCATGTGGCTTTGTCTGAAAATGGGAATGCCCATAGAATTACCATTTAGTGGGGAAAATGATGGAAAATGATGATCAGATCAGCCATCAAAAAACGCCATGCTGTGGCAGTTCGAAGCATTTTTTGGCGACACTCTTGGAAAACAAACCAAGTGGTTGAAAGAGTAGTGCGTTTTCATAGGTGTCCACGCTATAAAATTAAATTAGGGGAAATACATAGGCATAGCATAGTGTCATACCAGTTTTTTTGTTGCCATACCGAGTCATACCAAAACCACACGTGAAGGTTGAACTATGCCATCGCCCGCCCGCCCTTCCTGTGCTGGAAGAAGTCGCTTCGTGAGTCACATGCTTTCTGCGCCTGCAGAATTCCACCGGCTAACAGAGGGGATGACCTGAGAAGTGCAAAATACTGCTGATTGAAATGGCTATATCTCAGGGTAAAGTTGACTATTGTGTGATATCACAGAAGGGGTAGTGGGTATACTTCACATCCACAACATACATTGAGATACTGGGTATAGTTTGACTGTTTTTGACATGTATGACTGTATGACCGAGATGCTGAGCCGCTCAACAACGGGCTGGTGGAAACCAGGTGGAAACCACCAGGCCAGGTCAATATACACATCAACATACATCAACCCAGCCATGATCAACCAAGAGATTGAGGTATATGATGGTATATGAATATATCTATGTGCACAGCCGTGCCAACCAAAATCTCCAGCTGTGCCAACTCAGCTGTTTTGGCCCCAATCATCCCCTGCCCCAATCATCGCCTTCTGCCCCAACTCCATGACAGGGCCTAGGATTTTGCCCCAATCTGTATCCTCACAGCACAGCTTGGCACATCAGGCCCATCAGGCGAGCGCTCCAGGTACAACAACTAAGCCATCCCCATTTTACTCAATGTTACGATTGGGGTGGTCCTCCATTTAGTTCAATGATTGTCTATCAAAACCTCAATTTTTGATGATGATTCCTAGCAATCGCCATGTTTGAGTACCGTTGGGGAACTATATAACAAAACCACGTTCCCATGATAACTCCACATCAATTATATCCCATATGATATCCCCACGAAACCACCATTCTTGATGAAAATCACTATCTTTGAGGCTTCCCTGTCTTACCAGAGGCACCTGGGGCTTTTGGCAGCTGCCGGTGGCCACAAACAACTCCCGAAGCAGCCTCCATTGGCGCCCAAGGTTCTTTTTTTTGGGGTGGCTGGAGGTGCTTCCCCATATATACATATATAATAAATATATATATATATATATATATTGATCTGATAGTCAGGATAAAAGCTGGTGCGTCAAAAAAAGTCGATCCACCCAGTCAACAGTGTTTTCCGATCAAGCTTAAGGATTGCAATCCATCCATAACCCGGGATTGTCCAAAAGTAGGAAAATTCCGCAACACAGATGGGCCCTTTCTCAACCAGTGGATATGAGGATTTCCCCCAATTTCTTCGGACCACAGTCATTTTCATAATAATCCTCATTAAAGATCCTTGTATCAACCAATTACGGCAGTACCTGTACATATAACATCATCACAGAATACATGTATAGTTACAGTATTTATATAATATATACATATATTTATAATATATATATATATAATATGCATTATAAACCAACCCCATACATAATTTGGGGGTCAAGTGTCCAAACATCCAGAGCGAAAAGCCGGCCGCCTGAGCCCTTCCACATAAATCTCAGTGGCTTCGGTCACGTCCTCTGGCGTGGCGAGGGGACGATAAATCATGGAAAAAAAACATATAAATCATATAAACAACACTAGAACATCCTACATCTGGAAAAAAAATCAAACATAAAACATCATCAAACCCATCTGGTTGGTAGATCACCAAAAGACCAACACAAAAGACTGTTCAAATCCCGCCCAAAACGCGACGCGCCAAGACCCCATCGTCTCCTTCGAGTTCAAATCTTTGGCACAGCCCCTGGGAGATTGGCACCGACCATCTAGGGATATCTCTTGCTGATACACAACCAACTGATGGATATAGAGGGAATAACATGGAATAACCATGGCAAAAAAAAAAGGACATCTAGCACTCTACAGTGCTTGGTTTCAGTTTTTTGTTACTGCCAAAATAGTGCACACAATTCCACTTCGTTCCGATGTCGAAATATTGCTAAAATGTGTTATATACAGATGTCTTCAGCCCCCTTTCGGCCTTTGGCGTTTTCCAGATTTTTTAAACGCAACAAAATAGATGCCCAGAAGTAGAGAAAGGGTCCCTCTTCAAAATCCAAGCTTTATCATCATGTTCTCTATTGCCCTCTGGTTATTTAACATAGCCATGGAAAGTGGCCCATTTATAGATGGTTTACCTATTAAAAATGGTGATGTTCCATGGCTATGTTAAATAACCAGATGGTAATATATAATGCCATTTGGTCGGTATCCCTAAGTTCAGCTTGCCTGAGGTTCACAAAGTGCTAAAAAAAAAGACAACAACTCCACGTCCCAGGCACTCCACGGGTGGAATCTTGCCCTGCACGAACATGTCGAACCTGGACATAGATGAGATACACAGTTGCTGCATCGGAGTTTAGAATCCACATAATTACAGAACTATGTCATTGATCGAGAGATCGTCCGTACACATTTGTTCGGCATTCTTTGAAAGGTCTTCTGTTCTCTATCATTTCCCTGTGTTTGATGTCAACGTTTGTGGATATGGATCATATGGCTCAAAATCCGTGCTCTGGTGAGCGCCATTATATAAAGAGGATTAAAAAGGTGGTAAATACCGTTGATCCTATGGGTATAAGTTTCTTCTCAATTGAAGTCTTCCACAGTTGAAGATTCAGGCTACATGTTTTCTTGGTCTATATATCTGAGTCAAAACTATGGGTACCAATAGTCTACAAATTGGTCATTTTTAGTTTGTAGCATTCAACTGAACCATGCACTTTGGTCTTTGCTACCGTTGACCCAAACCCACACGGGTTTGTCTGACACAATAGCGAGTCCGCTGGTTTATAATAATCTCCCGATTAAGAAACCGTCATGACTGGGGAGTATGCCTCATGTTCAGACACACCAAAATCCACACAAAAATCATTGGTTCAACATGGTTAAACCCTCCATTTTTTGGTGTTTCACCATCATTTAAGCTGGATTCATCATTGTTAATCCTCCATGTTTGCTGATCTCTCCTCCCCTTTTTTGATGAAAGAAATGGCTCTGCGTCCGCGGAACGCCAGGACGATTGGTGGAACATCTTCACCGGCGGAAGCGGAACCTGACCGTGGACAGGTCAGCTTTCTATTTGGAAAGTCATCCTGGACGTAGATAGAATGTGGTTGATGATCTTGATGATCCATTTAAATTTAAGCGGCTTTGAAAAATCTAGAATATGGAGTTGTGAAACAATCCTCACTAGACTTAGATGAATGTGTTTGAAAATTCCATGTCTACTCCAGGAAGATTGTATATCTTGGGGATTCTTGGGGATCCCAATGATATGACGGAAAAACAAATCCGACCAAAGGACTGCGACATACTGCGGCTCAATATTAGAGCCCGCCAAAAAAGAAACAAGGTGTCCCTATTACAGTAGCACTCAGAACGGACTGTAGATCATATGTTTGGGGTTCTAACGCTTCTCAAGTTGTAGCTTTTCATCACGAACTCTACTAGCAATATTCTATTTGAACTATAATATATATATATATATAAGTAATTACTTACAGTATATGATAAATGATAACCATATATCAACGTGTATATATATATATTAACTATGTACTATATGAGCTTCTTCGGTCTCGACAGTTCCCAACGGTTCCCACCTGCGGCTGCACCTCCTCCTGAAGTGCCCTCAAACAACCGCTGTGTTGCACCCAGGAAAAATGCTGGATGAACTGATTTAAGCATGAAAAATGGTGATGGATTGCCCGGCAAAAACTTGAATGGATTTCAGTTCACCATCAAGAAATGGCATGACTTGCTGGAAAATTCCCATCCCAAGTTTGGTGGAGTTTTTTTTCAACTATCATGTGGTTGGGAAGGTTGGGAAACTCAATTCGTAGCCGTAGCTCCTCTGTTTCCCATTTTCACTGGTTGGAAACCCGTTTTCCCTCTGCACCTTCTCCAATCGCTCTGCCACGCTTTCAAGCCTTGCGGGATGTCACAAATTTGGGTACACTGTTGGGTCATGGCATCGCTCAAAATATGTTTTAAAGGGAAGCGTAGGGACGGCACATTTGAAGCTAAGCTTAGTTGGAATGAAAAATATGTTTATATTCGGTCTGATTGAACGGCCGCGAAAATGTGTGCATCTCGCAAGGCTACGGGGAACGTTATCATCAGCAAACGCGCTCTATATAAGCCAAAGAAAAAATGGGACGGACACTTGCCGCAACTGCAAACCTCAAAGAAATCAGTTCAAAAAAGGTAGTTATCATCTTGCCGGATTGAAAGCTTGAACATGGCACGACATGCACAATCTACTGGAGTTCAACTCAAACCGATTCTGAATGCAGGTGCAATCACAGGCATACTTGTAGCATCTTGTAGCTCTCTCAGGGTCACAAAAATTGCCACACTTCTTGGATTTAAGCTCAATGGGTTTGACATTTTCACCAGATTCCCCCGTAGACACAACATCTACCGGACCAGGCCTAGCAAGAACAGACTCAAACTGCGCCAGATTGACAGCCATGGAACTAACCTCGCACCAGGAGTGGAGCTCCAACCGGTGGCATCCACTGCCCTGGGTTTCCCACTGAATTACTGAAAATGCTTAGTGCTAACATGTGCTAACATGTGCTAACTAAGCCATCTAGTAATATGTGCATCATATCATATCACCATAAAATACTTCAGGTATCATATATATATATATACTATCATTCATGCAAATCTGTCCGGGGGGTCCTATACAATTGACCTCTCCCTATTTTGCCAACGATATCACCTTCCATCTCCGATCTGAGGCGAAAACTGTGGCAGCCGCCTTTGGAGATCGGCGATCGGTTTGTTGTTGCTACTTCTGTCAGATCCATCGTGCTGTTGGTGAGGTCAGTTGTCTTTGTTCCTCCAAAAAGAATTGCAAAGTTGTCTAGGCATGAGATATCATGAGATCCTACACATGTTGGTTATTGTTTGTTTCTCTGGCAACTGTTCATGCAGAACATTTAAGGTCAGTTAAAAATCCTTTGATTATCGCGATCCAGAATGGCTGCATGTTCATCTTGAACTTTGACGGAGCCGTGAATGTGAGGAATATGAGCCTGGCACAAAGAAAAACATTTGGAATCAGAATCCGCTAACAAAAAGTTATAGGATGTTATAAGTAAACAAACAAAGGTGCTAAAACTTGAAGTTTCTGGATGGTCACCAAACCTTGACTGTTTAAGCAGAAAAATCCATGGCTTCTGTGGTTTCACTGCTCTTCTTGCGACCCAGACCTTCCACTGCTCGGGACACCTTTCCGACATGCTCTCTCCACTCGGTTCATCTTACGCGCCACCAAATGGGCCGCAGCTGTCGTTCAACATGGCAGCCTGGTTTAAGGAATCTTTGGCTTACATAGTTTGTAAAGACATGTTGCATGCTGAGGCGGATACGCCCTGATTGTATCATATCGTATCTCAACCTATCTCAAGCTCTTCATGTTTCCAAGGGAAGAACATCTGTGATCCGTGATCTCTCTTAACGCGGCGGCCCACCTCACCAAATGTGGCTCTACAAATTTCTAAAACATATTTCGCTCAAATCAACTTCTGCAACGCAGATTTAGAAACGGTACTTGGCATCCAGTGGTTGGAAAGGCATGCGCGTAGCCACAGGGTCATACCTCGGACGCTTTCTTGCAACTCTCAAAGATGCAGCATCAGTCTCACTCGATGAATTTCTCGTCTGAGAATCCAAGAGAATCCAAGGCATTCTATTCTATACTCTACACCTGTGCTTCTCTGTCTACCTCCTAAGTCTCTGACCCTTTCGGGGGAAGCAAACTGATGTCCCAGCTAATTCATGTGCTGTTCAGCCCCTACAAAGCGTTTCGCAAATATATAAGGCATCTATCCTAGCAATATGGGGCTGCATGGCCCATGCTGATCATCGCTCCTAAATCTGGTATCATTTCCCCTATGCCTACGGGTCCACATGCTCTTTTATATACATACAACGATATTATTGTTAATGGTGGCTCAAGCCTTGAAATACCAATGATCTTCCAATGATCTTCCAATTTTGGAACAGCCTTGTTACACCACGACATGTCCCCAAGACATCACCGCTGTCCCCGACGTGTCCACCACTGTGTCCACCACGGCGCCCCGACTCGGCGGATAAGGACGCCAAATAGTGGGCCGAGTTGGTCTCCTCTTGCTCTCGGAAGAAGAGAAGCTGCTTCTCCTCCGACGGTACTGGGGCCATGGTGGAAATGGACATTTACCGAGGAACCATGAGGACTATTGTCAATTATCCGGATAAACATTTAGTTGCAAAAACAAGCTGGGGATGGGAATGTTTGCCTTGTGCACCAACAAAGATGGGTTTTTTTCGCAATGATGCTCGAGAATTTGGGGTGAGATTGACCAACAAGATCAATGGTATGCTTGACCCAAACTCGGGGATAGAAGCAAAAATTACCAGGATCTGGTCTCATCCAAGAAAGATGGATGAGTAAAGGTAAATGTCAACCCTGAGAACGTTTGGGATTCACGGGCAAAACTCAGAAAAATATTTCACCCACAGCACAGGCATTTAGCCCTAAATGTTGTTGGGCAATGCCCACGGAGATGCAATAGATACCCATCAAAATCATCAAATATTGGATTGTTCCAAACCATTGTTTTATCGTTTTCATGGATGATGTATTGATGTCATGCAATACTCTGCACTGCTTCAAAAAAGAGCACGTCCACGAAAACTCCAATCCAGTCGGTGGAAGTTTTGACCAACTTTCTGGGAGGAGTCAGGATACTTTATGAAACCAACAATGACCACTGAGCTACGGTGGATGGAAGAAATCCTGCACCAGATGATAGGTGGTTTATCCCATTATTTATGGGGGTTCAACCATCCAAGGTGGTGCAGGATTTCTTCCATCCACAGTATCACTCTGAGATTCATATGAAATGTTATGAATATGTTGTCATGTCAATCCCGGGTGAAAATATCCCCAGTTTAGTAGGAGCAAGGTCCCCAAATTGGCAGCAAATGATTATGAAAATGTGTATAGGCATCTATTAACATCGATCAACTAAATCCCCAAATGGTGTTTCCTAAAATGGTGGTACCCCCAAATCATCCGTTTTAGTACTAAACCATCCAGCTATTGGGGTACCCCCACTCCAAGAAACCCTCAAATAAGCTTGCGGTGCCAATGAACTTCTTTTAGGTCAGATGACCGACTTGGCTGGGCTTCAGGCATAGTATCGCTTGCGGCTTTGAATCTTGTAGTACCTGCAGTGATGGGAAAAGAAACTTGAATGATTCCGATCACAGGAAAACATTTTGCAGATACCTGAATTTTGAACACGCTAATTGTTTCGATTCTTTATATTTTTACCTCTTGTTTTACCTCTTTTTTGAGGTGTATAAGTTGAGGTCAGTTAAGGTTCGTAGTGGGTTGATTTTGGCCAAGGCAAATTGAAGCACAGCCGTACAGAGCCAAGCCCGATCCCATGGCACTCGTGGTCAAAGCACATGAGATAGGCACATCGCCCAGCCTTGGTTGAAAAATCGAGACATGTGGCAATGAATCATTGGGAATATGGATGTGGGTCAAAATGGAAGACCGTTAAGGGGACCACAGATGTGAAAGTCTAGTTTAGTATTAGCCATCCATAATTTTGGGGTACCTAATGACTTGACCCATACCCATATCATGGAATATGATGATTTGCCGCAGTTTGCTACACCATTTCTGGATAAACTCATGAAACAAACCCTACTATGTGAGGTCCAACCTAATAGGATTTCAGGGGACCATAAATCATCCCCAAAATCCACCAGAAATGAGTGGTATAAATAGTAGAAAGCCTCGGAAAAATGGGTGATCTATGATAGCATTGAAGCTTTAAACCATAGTTTACCGTATTGAATTTATCAGGTTCATCAAACTGCTTATGGGTCAAAACGTCAAAACCCTGGTACCCGACCCTAAGTCGTAGCTGGTATAGCTGGATGGTTCTTCCCCCAACTGGTGACCAGCAAGGCCCCGAACGTAGACCAGGCCGGACAAAATGATGCCACCAGCTACGCCATAGGCCAGCGAATAGAGAGGTGTGCCCTGTGGTCAACCGTGGCCCCTGGACCACAGGTCTCGTTATATAAATTGCTTGGGGATCCCTGAAATCCTCCAAAATATATAGGCAACATCTAGTAGTATCTAGTGAAAATATAGTCAAACCAATTCAATATATGCCAATGTTGATCATTTTTGGCAGAAAAAACATGGAATTTGAGGGTCCTTCCTTGCCAAACATCGCCTTGAAATCCTCAGGCACTAAGGAGTTTCTTGGATCTTGTCAGGAACCAGCCAGCTCCCCATGGAACTCCGCACCCCAACATGTGAAAAGGTCACACCAACAATTTCCGCTAGTGTAACGCAGACAATGTTTTGATGAAAGTTTGAAATGGGACATAGTGAAAATGGCAGAACCCCATGTGAACGCAACTTGCGCCATAGTTCAAAACATATGTGTTGGAATGTGTTTTAACATAATCTTATTGTGCAAATCCCATTGCGAACACAGCTTTCATGGGGGTCATAAAAATATATGTCGCGGAGGATCTTTGGCCACATTCAACAAAGGAAAAGCAAGTGTGAACGCAGATTTCATCAGGATCTTTTTTTTGTGGAAACTGTATAGAGAACATTATATATATATATTGCATAACATATATATGTTATAGTATATATATATATATGTTATAGTATATATATATATGTTATAGTATATATATATGCCATCCAAAGATGCTGAACATTCTGAGGATCCAACCACCTTCATCTTGCTCAAAGCGAAGGTGCTGGCCCGCGTCATGAAGGACCTTGTTGGATACCCGCCAAGCGCAACATGCTGCTGCTCCACACCCAAGTCTCAAAAGTGTAGTGTAGGAGCAAACATCACAAAACTTAAATCACGGGATTATTCATCATTAATCCCTTCTCCCCAATATTAAAAACTCCTCAGAATATCATGGTCTAGTAGGGGATTTACACATATTTGGGACTTGACTAGGGGATTCCAATCACCAACCTTACCAACCGCAGTCGCCGAGTACCACGCGGCTTTGTCGATGCTTCAATCTGTTGTGCCATGTTTAGGTCTCCTCCACATGTCACAAACTGGCGGGAAAATGAACTAAACATGTCCCCCAAATGGATGGTTTATAATGGAAAATACCATTAAAATGGATGATTTGGGGGTACCCCTATTTCAGGAAAGCATGAAACCCCGCACTTTGTGGGTTCGACCATGTTCAACGTTACATTTGTCAGAGCCATAATATCAATATGTTGGCGAATGCTTCGATTGACACCTCGCAGCTGCATGAATCTATGCGGCTGTCATGGCCGTCCGTTTTAGGTACATTCGGATTGTACCCAGTCGCAGTCATGCTAGATTAGTGAAACGAAGGTTTGAACTTCCCTTCAAATTTTGCCTAGTCGATCCATGTTCGATGGAACTAAAAAATACCCATCCCCCCCTGAATTTCCCTATTTGGAGCCCAAGAAAAATTAGAATAGGAGATAATTGGAGTTTTGGGGGATGCTTAATGGTATGGTAGGGATTACAACCACAAGAACATCCGCAGTAACACCCCTGGCTCCTTGTCACCGCTACTCCTCAACGGTGTTCTGGGTGGGCGTCAATGAATCGCTCGCACGCTGAGAATGGCAGAGGGGCCGTGACTCGAAAACAAATGGATGGTTTCAAATTGAAACCTAAAAAAATAACAAGCATTAACAAGCCATTTTTGGGTCCTCTGAGAGACAGATTCTTGAATCATCTCCCTGTTATTGACATCTATTTGCGGCGCCTACACTCCTGGAATGTCCTGGATACACGTGAATTTGTCTGAAATAGGGTAGATGTTTCCCCCGCAATAATTTATCAAACTAGATGGTTGATCATGATTGTTCCCCTTAAAATGCCATTTGGGGCGTCAATTTATTGTATACCATAGTTCTGCATGAAGCATTATGACATACCAACTGCATGAGCAACTAGCCGACCATCTAGGGAAAGCACGGGCTAAACCAAGAGAAGCAACTATCAAGAACTACTAAAAAGGGGCATATAAAGCAAAAAAACAACTACTGTATCACATAACAAGTTTAAACTGGTACACACCCACTATTTAGAGGAAATTGACATGATGTGACTAATGCCTGTGACCCATGGCTCCTTTTTGGCCGCGAACGTTGATTGACGGACTTCGGGTGGCAGCCCGCTGTGGTTGCGCTTGGTCAGGCATGGATGGTCATGGTCAAACTTCAGTAGGGAAAAACCATCCTGGGTGACAGGGTGAGGTACTTGGGGGTGCAGTAAGGATTATAAAATGTTATAAATGGGTATAACAATGGCGATAACCTCCATAAGTTGGGATATTTACCCCTACAATGGCCTACAACTATGGTAAATATCACCGTTATAACCACTTCTCAGTGGTATCCCCTCCTGTATCGCATATTCTTGGGCAACGACGGGTGTCATCTGAGCCATGCCCCAAGCACAACCACAGTGGAGCCGTCTTCGTGGGGGCCGCAACCATTTTCATTGCAGCCACCGAGGTGAAACCAACGGCATCTCTCACTGACTCTGTGTCCTTCCGAAACCCATCAGTCACCACTGCATCTCATGGTGGCCCTATATTTTTTTCTTGAAGTTATATAGATGAAGTGAGTACCAATAAGGGTCACCCGGTCAAACCTAGTTCTTTGGACCCGGTTCTCCCCAGAGATGGCAGAAATCTGCTCAGGCTGCAACCATCACTGCGGGTCACTACATCATCCCTGTGTTGGGGGTGTAAACCTCTATATATTGGGGATAGATACCCTCTGGTAATTTAACATAGCTATTAAAAATGACCATAGAAATAGTGGATTTACCCATTGAAAATGGTGATGTTCCATAGTTTTTTGTATGTTTACCAGAGGGTAAAATGAGTGGCTTTACCGCTAGCCAGGCTAGAAAAGGGTTTTTCAGATACCGGTAGACAAACATCTCTGAGCCATTAAAAGTACCACATCCCATCTAGTTGAATACCAAAATTTGGTTGAGAAACCCAGGTAGCATAACTCCTTATAATAACCAATCAACCGGGGTATTTTTAACAGCTTAAATATGGCAAGTGGATAGCCATCGCGCCTCTCGCTCCTTTCGGTGAGGGGATGTACCACCAAGGGCCTATCATGGTCAAGACTGAGAGGTCCGACCGTGAAACTGGGATGTCTATCTGGTAAAACTCAATGATATCACCATCTTCATGTTCAGGTTCATCGTCATAGTCATGGTCAGTGTCATTTGTCATCATGTGTTTCTTCATCGTCGTCATCATCATAATCATAATATATCATAATCATAATTAATCATGTTCTTCATCATAAGCAGTCAAATTATATAACATGAGTGTTTGCAAAGAAAAGCAGACTTGCCAAAGAACCCACCACCTTTGTTGCACCTTTGTTGCACCTTCGTTCTAATTTGAAAAAAATGGAATCTCTATGCATTTGTCCCATCAAAAGTGAGAATCTTACCAGTAAAATCCGCCAAATTTCCGCTGTCTTTTCTTCGCAGGAAGCCTCTTGCAGAGATCCGAGAACTCCCCATTGTCGTGCGCAGCGAAGCGCTCGTAGTCCTGGGGATATGAAAAACACTGGGACCCGTGGAGAAAGAATGGGCTACTGGGCCAAAAATGTGGATAAACCATGGATAAACCATGGATAAACCATGGATAAACCATGGATAAACCAGAGGATTCCTGATTCAGAGAATATTTATCGATCATATCGATCATAAAGGGGTCCAAGTATCGATCAATCCTCCTGTTGGATGCAAATGTTGACCATCAAATCGCTGGTTTCCGGATTGAAATGACCATCGGTATCCAAGTTTTTTGGCCCAACCCGTATCTGTGGTTTTGCACTGAGTCACTTCAAAGTCTGGAGCTATTCAATGACGATGGGTGTATCCCTGGTATATCGCCGGAGCTTTTTGGATTCCAATCGACCCAGATCCCACGATTTGTGGCTTGCATCTCAGCAAATTCTTGCTTACACATGGATGTTGTTGGATACCTCCCGATAAGTTGCTTTTTGAAAACTATCATGTTCTATCTAGTTATGCTAATTATATCTAATTAATTATGTGACATACTGTGGATGGAAGAAATCTTGCACCATCTTGGATGGTTGAAACCCTAGAAATAATGGGATAAACCATCTATCAACTGGTGCAGGATTTCTTCCATCCACAGTATCACTTCGTCATATCCTAAAAGTTTCGTGATTTTTGGGACATGTTTCCTGTGTTCACACCCCGTGCGTTCTTTCTGTCGACCAGCCTCCACCGTGCGTGGCAGGTCCAGTGTGCGATAGGGCACCTGGAACCGGGGTCATGTTGACTCCATGTATTTCGTGGGGATGATTTACCATGCTTTGCCTACTACAAAATCTGGTTGGTGGTTGACCTACCCCTCTGACAAATATGAAATATATGATGGAACAATAAAAAATCTTTGAAACCACCAACTAGATATTAGCTAGCTTCAGACTTCTAAAGGTCTAGTAGTTTTTTGAAAGGCTAACTGCTAGTCTCCAGCCCCAGGATGGATTGGTCCCTGCTGGCCCCACATCCCCCGGCCTCTGGAACCGCTGGTGGCTCGTACCCCATCCTGGAAACGGGTTCCAAATGGGAAACCCCGTGGCTGATCGGTTGAAGTGCAGCAAGGCCAAAGGAGACCAATATCTCTGGTAAAATAAGAGCCATTTGGTCATTTGGTCACCATCATTGGTGAGGTCATTGTGAGCTTGCTACAAAGGCATAAGAAATACCAGGTGGATCCAGGTGGATCTTCATTCCACCAACTCTTAGCCTTAGCAAAGCCCTAGTGTTGAGGCTTTATCCAAACATGATTCATTCCGTGCCGCTCCTAGGCAGTAGTCCATGCTGAGAACCTGGCCAGTTGCTTGCAGAGGGAAGTAGATCTCCATGTCCAAAAAATGGGTGGGATCTCCGTTGAAAATGGATCTGTCTGAAAATCGTCACATGGTTGGAGTTCAAAATACTAAGACAATATGGCTTGGAGATTCCGCTTGATTCTCGAAGAAAGAAAAGAACGATTCCTTCGTAATCAGGCGTTCATGGTCAAACTACCATTTAGCTTCTGGATCCCTCTGGTACTATCACATAACAGTGTAGAATCTGCCAGTTGTGAATGAGTTTCATGTTGAACATAGGGGCTTTTCCATTGCCTTATGAAATTATCAGAGGGCGCAAAGTGTTGTTGACGGTATCATCGGGACTTCTTTTGACCTTTGTGGTCCCGCTTTGCTGATTCTATCTCCCCTGGAAGGTTCATGCCAACATTCCGCCCAAAGCGTATGGATGACAGGTTGTCTTAACGAGATACATTGGGCTCCATAGTCTTGCAACTTTCTACCTGCAAATGTGCCCAATAGCTCCCCTTCAATTTGGGGTGACAACTTGATTCTTGTTGGTTGTATGGCCCCACTTCAGGCTCTATCAACGCGCGAAGCATGCAGCGATTAGTTTACCCAGGCCAAAACCATTTGGTTGGGTAAATCATGCTAAATCCCCTTCTTATTCATTTATTTCCCTATGTTTGGTGGCCAGAAGTCTCGTTTTGGCTGGTAAATATCCCATGTTCCACCGTTCCACCATTGCTGGTGGTTCATAGCCCCATCTTTGATCATTTTTGGCGGCAAAACATCCAATTTTGTGTGGTTGATACCCACATGTTTCTTGGTTACTGTTCCTTCGTCTCAGATACTCTCTGGATATCTAATGCAGCTATATGGAAACTCATTATTTTTTAGAGGTAAACCATCATATTTATAAATGGGCCATTGTCATCCATTGTCCATGGCTATGTTAAATAACCAGAAGGATATCCCATTCATATCCCATTAAATCCCTATAAAATCACTATAAAATCCCATTAAATCACTATAAAATCTCATACAAAATCCCATTAAAACCCTATAAAATCTTAGTGAATCCCTCTAAAATCCCATTAAAATCACTATAAAATTTAAATCCCTATAAAATCATATAAAATCCCCATTAAAACCCTATAAAATCTCATTAAATCCCTATAAAATCCCATTATATAAATCACTATAAAAAATCCCATTAAATCCCTATAAAATCCCCAACCATTGGGTGTTTCTCCAAGAATTTCTATCGCCATTTTGGCACCTTCCTGGCTCTCACTGTGGCTCTTGTCTCTCCGCCGAAGCTCAATGGGAGGAAGCGAGTCAGGCCGCGCCTCAGATCCGTGGGAATGGACATGTGTGCTTTGTAGATTACCCCCTGGTAAATTAACAGTTCGACCCTGGCAGAAAACGGGGTTGGAAGATTAGTTTCCATTAAAACTAGGCTATTTTCAGGGTCCAACTGTTAATTTACCAGAGGGTATGAATGGAAATGCACTTCGAAATTGGAGATGATGATTTTTTAAGGGAAAACACCCTTAAATCCACCGTACAGATTGGTGAATGATGAAAACTTGGCTGGAAAATCTGCATTTCCCACACGGCTCCAGGTGTTTGTTTCTCTTTTGCCAAAGGACTTTTTTCGATAGGGGGGGAAGCAGAGTTGGGGAGTTCCAACTGTTTATTGACCAGTTGCTTGTCAGTTGTTGTCACAATTGGGTACCAGGAAATGATATAATTCACCCCAACGGGGATGTCGCTGTACATGATGTTCAAACACAATGATTATTGGTGCGATCCTGCTTGAATCATATCAAATCACAATCTTTGTTGCTTCACCTTTTTGTCACATTTTTTGACATCTGATACATCTGTTTCTTTGTAATATATTGTAATCATTGAATCAACTCAATTTTGCAACTCAAGTCATCACCCAGCTGACTTCAGGCCGCATAGAGCTGTGCACCTTCTTGGCGGCGACCTCCTCCAAGTTCCCAGCCCCATTGCCTGGCCGATGATTTTTAGGGAAACCCAGCCCAAGCCATAGAGCTTTCCATCTCAACTTACCTCAGGCTATTTTTTCAAATCCAAAAGTTGAAACATCCGAGAACTTCATGGGGGAACTTTTGAAAATCTTTTGCCCCAACCCCTCCAACATCCTCCACCCACACCCTTCACCTCGCACACCGCGAGCGGAGTAGCAACTGGGCGCCTCAAAAAAGACCACAAAAGGGGGTCTGATTCCCATGGGTCATTTTTTGTGCTGAGTTTTGCCATTGAAAATGGTGAATTCATATGGGATGTGGATGTGTCATGCAGGTTGTCCAATCATCCAATTCCCGGAGTAACAGAGAGGATTTGACCACTGAACAGTCTATGAATAGAGAATTCAAGGGAGTACAACCAGCCAAAAGAAGGGATTTAAGTGATTTAAGCATCAAAAATAAGGATCTATAATATAACCAATGAATAATGGATTTGGGTCGTGGAAATTTGGTATACCCAAATATATGGCCATGTCATAGAGAGCATTTTGCTGATCAATGGCTGGATTTGGTGCCGGATTTCTGACGAATCCAAGTCACAGATAAAAAATTATGCCATCAAATTGTGCTATGCTATGATGTGATATGTACCCCTGGTGAACATCAAAATAGCTGGTAAATGGATGTTCATCCCCCTAAAAATGGTATGTTCATAGGTATTGATCTATAGCCATATGACAATGATGTATGATACAGGCCTCATGAGGCTGCGCCTTCCGCGTGGTACCTGGCGAGAGATTGGTTGGGTTTCACTATTTGCCGGGTTTTTCAAAAGCAGCCTAAACTGATCAAAATAGTGATTTTTACCAGCAAAAACTGGAGTTTCACCAAGAAACATGGGCATGTCATCAACAGAATTAGATAAAAGTGCGAGGTTTTACCACTAAACATTTGGATCTTACTGTCCTATCAACAAAAATGCTAGTTCACCAACACTCACAGGGATTGAACCAGCCAAAATGGTGATTTAACCAGCCTGTATGGGGATAGTACCACCAAATGATAACCAGAAGTGAACTACGGCCAGAATTTTCATGGCTTTGTCTGAAAAGGTGGATTACCCCAAAATGCTAATCGTAGCGGGGAACACCTACGTATTTTCATTGGAATATATTTGGGTATACTATCAATGACATAGTTTTCATGGGGAATAACACAACTATAATATGATTTGGGTAGATTTGGAAATCTATTTTTGGACTATGGACCATAATAACCATTCCAACCCATCCCTTGAAGAAACCTCCAGGCAACAGGGCAGCACCATTCAGTTCCTGGCCGCAACGGGGACGACATGTGGCGTGAACGTCACCTGGGCCGATCTCCCCTTCTCTCACAAAAAACAGGCATTGCCCTCTAATCCAATCATCATTGCAGTTCCAAAGAAATTTCCAAGATTTTCCAATGTCCTGGCAACTGAAATGAACTCCAATAGATGAGAATAGCACCTTCTTGCGACCTCGGGGGCCCTAGGGGGCCCCCAAAAAGGGGGCCCTATATGGGGCCCCGTTTGCAGTTCGCAACTTCAGTCCCTCCTCTGTCATGCAGGGATCCGCCATGATCAAATGGTACCTCGTCTGGAGGATCACCTTAAGCCGGGTAGAAACACCCCGCAGTTGGCGATGTTAGTGGGGAAACTATGGATGAACTAGTGGATTTGGGAAATTTAGGGGTGCCCTCTGGTAAACTAACATAGCTATGGAAAATCACCATCTTTAATAGGTAAATCATGTAAATCAACTATAAATGGGCCATTTTCAATAGCAAACTGTAACAAATTACCAGAGAGGACCCTATTTTCAGACCCAAATGATGAACCAGCAGCTGGCAGCGTGTCAGCTTGTGTTGGGCAACGGCACCAATCGAAGGATGACTTCAGCAGTTTTCCAAGGCACGTCCTTTTCGGAGACGATGGAAGCAAAGATGAAGTTCAGCACGCCATCTGCTGCCACCTTCGTCATATGCAAAATATGTGGCATTGTGGCACTTTGGCAGGGCAAACATGAAAAACACATGTTGTCACTGGCAGTTCCAAGATCCAACATGTTCAAAATTGGACAAAATATTATCATCCCTATCATGTTGGATTTTAGAACTATTATGTTGACAATACTATTATCAAAATAGAACATCTTGATCATAGTACCCTCTGGTAATTTACCAGTTTGCTATTGAAAATGGCCATAGAAATAGTGAGTTTTCCCATTCAAAATTGTGATTTTCCATAGTTTTGTAAACGTTTACCAGAGGGTATCATGCCAAAATAGTATCATCCCTACTATCCCCATCATGTCGGCCGCCTTGAAGTGGAGCGCCACGTGCTGGTGAGGCCCTAAGAATAACATCTGCCTGGCGACACGAAACATGGGGGGTTGGCAAATGCATCATGAAATTCATGAAATGGGGACATTGGGATGAGTTATGCCAACATGTGGATTTTTCCAACAAAAATGGTGATTTAATATGATTTAATAGGGATGATAATAGGGATGATAGCAGGATTTTGTCATGGATTTTGTCATGGATTTAGCCTCCCTTTCCTCATCAAACAAAGGCTGACTTGGAAGTCCCCCAACTAGCCATGGAGGTTGATATCTGGGAAAATTCACCGCTTTAAATGGGAGATTTTCCAGCCATGTTGGATTCACAAGGAGTCAACAGTTGGGTCAATGTTGGGTGCTTCGTTGGAAAACGTTCCAATCAAATAGTGGATCTTGACCTCACTACATCTTGCTATTCGGTATTCTTTTTTTAGGAGGAAAGTCACGTTCAGCAAAAGAAACCTGTCCACTGCAAAGAGATCAAATCCTTCATGGAAACTTGGCGTCAGCAAAAACGGATGAAAACCTGTCCTGAAAAATGGCTACTACAATTGCTCCAGTTCAAGCAAACAAGTGGAGACAAAGTCATTCAGAATCATCACACCATCCCACTAACCGGTGCATGTGATCATCCTGGAGGGCGATTTGGAGGGTCTACTGTATACCACTCCTGGATCATTTGTAATACTTGATATTTCACTATCTATAGCATATGATAGCATATGTTAGTGACCCGTAAAACCTTTTTTAAAAAAATACGCAAGGACTTTAGATTGGAATGTTAATTTTCACCATCTTTTTCGGAGCTGCTATGCCAAAAACAATTACCTCTGTCGGGTTTCCGAAGAAAACCCATGGAGCAGCCTCACTCGTTCTTGCTCGATGCGTCGATTCAAGGTTTCGCTGGTCGCTAAGATCACATCCTGCGCTTCTTTGTTTGGTGGGTGGTTCTGAGGAAATTGGGATGTTTTCTTCTTCAAACCACCAGCAAAATTGACTGTTGAAACCCTGTTCCTGCAAAATCCCTCTTGATCACGCCATAGATTTTGAAGATTCCTTCAGAATCGATTGAAATCAGATGAGCAGCGCCCAAAACTTTCTGTCATCTTCTCTATCCTTGGTCTATGAGGATTCACATAGTGGATAGTGATCCCTATCAAAGCAAATAGTGTACGTATGTGTACATAATTACCAATCAACTAACAACGAATCTGTTTCGCGTCCAAATCAGCACCTGCGAAAATGTCAGACCCAGGGACCCTAAATTGGTCATACACTGTATGTTCATGTTGAGTCTGAAGGAGTACCACATTTGACACATTTCCAGATTTTTCTCACGGGATTAATGATGATTTACGTATCAAAAATAGGGGAACACTGAAAAACCTCCAACAGGCACCTTTCACAACCCCTCCACGTGCGAGACCTCCATATGTGGATGCCGATGATTCCGATAGCGGCTACTCACACTGGAAAGGCCTCAAAAACCATCGCTGCAGCGACGAGGCCCATTGCCCATTGCGGAAAAGGATCTTCAGTTTGCGTTGAGAGTCACAAGCTAGAAAGCCAAACCTGTCAATTTGGGTGTGTCTGAAAATGTTGTGTACCCCTAAACCCAATGGTTAATGATCATTATCCCTATTAAATGGCTATAATTGGGAATATACCCTATTTTCAGACAAACCCATTTCAATATTCAACCAATGAAAAACCGCTTCAACATTCCGAAGCTTCCAACATGTTCAAACTTCGAAAAACTTCATCATCTTCACCGAATTCCCCACCTTCCCAGCCCTCAAAGGTGGCACAGCGGTCGAAGATGTTGCCACCTGCAGATCGCGGGAATGGTTCAAGGTCTTTTTCTGCCTGGAGACAGCTTTGGTTCATCATTAGTTGGTAATTCTTTAGCATTAAACCATAGAGTACCAATTACATTTATAATTGTCGTATTTTTTATTGGGTATTCATATTCTACGATATTCTACCATCATTACTTTTTGGTCAAGGGTGTCTCAAGCCTCTCAAAGCCGTGCGTGCCAATCATACTGGGTCAAAATCATTGGACCCTAAGAAAAGTGGGATGTTTTACCCTCTGGTTATGTCAACAGTTTGCTATTGAAAATGGCCATAGAAATAGTGGATTTTCCCATAAAAAATGGGTGGATCTTTCCATAGCTATGTTAAATTACCAGAGGGTACTACAAACAATTGCTGAGTGTGAGAGCACATTATAGTTTGTCTTGAGACATGTCATCCATCTATGAATGATCTTATATATCAATTGGGAAAGCCATATGGGATAGCCATATCATTCATAGGAAAAAAATGAAAATGATAATTCATAGATTTACATAGCAATATAGTACATCCATAATGAATGATATGATTTGAGTTCACATAGCCATATCATGCATCTATCTATCAATGAATCATATAACTACTGTATATGTCATTATGTGTATATATATGGCCATATCAATTTAAATGAATATACCTATATCAATTTGGGGTACCCCGAATTTGACTCAACCGACCCTCTTTTTGCACCGCTCTAGAGGGATCATGTCTGATCCATTTTCAGGATGCCCTAATGTAGAAACACCATATCACATGTGCTTGTGTGTGTGTTCACTGTATCTGTATGCATTTTGTATATCATATGCACAAGTATGTGTATATATATATACACGCACTACATATGCACAATATATAATATATAATATAATATGTATATATAATGTATAATATATAATATATAATATAGAATATAGAATATATATAATATATATACTATATAATATACAATGTGTAATATGTAATATATAATCTATAATATATGTATAATACATAACATATAACATATAACATATATAATATATAACACATATAGTATACATATAGTATATAATACAACATAATACAATATATATATATAATATATACATATAAGATATAATGCAATATAATACTATATATATAATATACATATAATATATATATATAATATACATATAATATATATATACATATAATATATATATACATACATATAATATATATATATATATATACACAACAAATACATGTAACATGTATGTACACTCCTGTGAGTCCGATAGCTTCAATTCACCTCCCCAGGTAGGCGCGCCAGCCGCCTGCAGCCAACAGGGACCGATTGGTTCGCAAACAGAGGGAGGTCTGGCGCCGAAACTCCACCTCAGAGCCCGGTGCCACTTGGAAAAATGGCTGGTTTCATGGGGAAAATGGCTGTTTTTTATGGTGAAATTTGCTCCTTTCATGGGGAAAATGGCTGTTTTAATGATGTTTAATGGTGTTTTACTGGGAAAAGTGACTGTTTTTAATGAAGAAAATGATGATTCACCAGCACACAAACACATTCTAGGGTGAAACAAAGAGTTCATGACCCATGAAATTTTGGGGTACCAGTACCCTGTTCTCACACCAAGGTATACCCTCAAGTTGTTTTACTTCCATTGCCAAGGTAATTACCAGAGGGGACACCATTGGGCGCCAAATAAGGCCCGGAACCGTTCGCACCAAGGAGTTCGAGACTCCAAAGGGCTGCACGAAAGCTTGGATGATGCCAGAGTGTCTTTCCCTGGAAGCTGCTGGAGATGGGGATCAAAGTATGTCAGTCAGTCCCCATTTTGTTGGCATTTCGGAAGCACCTTTTCGAGATGCAATTTGTGGCGGGGGACAGCTATGGTGAAACACCATGGATTTGTTTGTCCCATCAAATCCCACCATTCAAATGGGTGGATTTCTTGGCACCCAATCGGAGCCAAATGAAACGCTGGCCTCAGTAACATAATGAACTCCTGCAATCCTTTGACCTCAGTGCTTTGGACCAGGACATACCAATTTCAAGTGGCCATGTGTTGCTCATGTTTGTTGGTTTGATGTGCCTGTTTGGTGGTTTGATACTGATCCAGCCATAAGTTGATGTCGGAGTTCAAAAGTTCTGACCACGCAATGACTTGATCCAGGGCGTACTCCAAGTTTTATGGGTGGGAACTTACCCTCTGGTAAACTAACATACCTATTGAAAATGGTCATAGAAATAGTGGATTTTCCCATGAAAAATGGTGATTTTCCATAGCTATGTAAACGTTTACCAGCGGGTAATTTTTGCTTGGCCCCAAAAAAACCTCATCCCAATAACTCATGGTACCCAAGGACTTGCCCGATTCCGTCGATTTTGGGGCAAAAAAATCTATGTTAAAAATGCTTAAAATATGATGGAAATATGATGAAATCCTCATCTTTGCTGCTTCAATCGGCAGTTTTGAATAGTTTTGATGTCTTTCCCAATTTTGGGGTGATATATGGGTGATATCCCATTGATATCACCGCGCCGAAGCATGCCGAAGCTTTCCAGGCGTTCCAGGCCGACAGGAACTCAGCATAGGGCGTGGGGCTCCGAGACTGGCCGAAGACCCCAGATGTGACAGGAGAAAACTGGGTAGAGAAAGAGGTCAACTACGAGTGGTTCATTCACAAACTTCACAAACCACATCTTTTGGCAGTTTTTGGGGATCCCACTTATTAACCATCATTTACTCTCCGGTAAACAAACTTGGCTGTGGAAGCTGGCTAGCCCATTTAGTTCGATGATTTACCTGTTGAAAATTGTTTTTTTTCTCATAGCTATGTTAAATAACCAAATGGTACCCCATTTCCCCCGGTTGCTAACACCATCCCAATAGGAGGTAAACATGGCCTTGTCTACAAGTTATACATGTCAAATTCCATATTGCCTTCCATCCTGCATATCATGGCCAATCTTGGATACCCTGCATTTTTTGCTAGTGGATATCATATGCTCTTGGTCAACTATATCTCCAGCCAAACCTCCGGAAATTGCGAGGCCATAGGCCTCAGCATTCACCAAGGGGATGAGATGTTGGAAGATGGCAAGGTTGGTTGATACTTTGTATTTTTTGGTGATCTACATGATTACATATACACTAGTTCGAGCGTTGTGCTGGGTAATAGTACCACTTTTGTTGGTTGAGAACATTTAGATGTGTTTGATATCTTCATGTTGTTGACTTGGTGGAGTGAAAAAAACAGTTACGCGGCAGCAGTGCTGTAGGATGGAGGCGAGCTGCTGACGTGATATGGTTATGGGTCAATGTCATTCATACCATTTTGGACACACCAAATCAGACCATTTGAAGTAACCATCCATTTACGAGGCTGAGAATCTTGACCCATCCATTCATATGTCAATGGGTTTCACAACATGATTCATCCCAATCTGATTGAGAAAGTGTTTCTCCCCGAGAAAATGGGTTGCCTATTGTGTTGAACGCACATGTCTGTGAGTTGCACTGGTTGGTCTCATCTCTTTCTCTGACTATCTTCGTTGGATCATCCAATGTTCGGAATTCCAATAAAGATAGGATCTAGCATTCGATTCCATCCGAACATGTCTTTAACCAATCCATGATTGTACCCCATCCGATTATTCTCCGTTCATGGTTAGCTGAAATCCATGGTGGAGTTCAATCTCCAAGCTGGATCCCTAGTTAAACAACTGGAGTACTCTACGATTCCATTGCATATATATAATTATGGATATACATATATTATGGTATTATATAGTTGTACCTGTATACATATATATATAGAGAGAGAGAGAGATTCAAAAAAAAATGTTACAAATCATCGCATCTGTTGCAGTTTCTTCCAGGTGCGCGGCGGCCCAAGTGTCCCCACAGCCAAATGGCACAAGGTTGCGCACTCTCCCGACCGTCCTTGTCACGGTCTCCCACAAGCCTGGCCGGTTCCAGGGCTGCCCATGGCTGCCCATGGCTGCTAGAAGGTACCAGTAGGTACTCTGAAGTAATGACTACAGCTATAATCAATGACTAGTAATAATAATAATAATAATAACCTTGTAATTTACTATGGATTATAGCTTATCATTATTACTCAAGAAAATCCTAGTAGTGAGTAGTAACAAATAATGATAAACTATAATCAATAAGCATGATTACCACCTTAATCACTATCATCAGCTAATGATATCAATCAATTACCACCAAAAAAAACATAGCAATGATAGTAACAATATCTTGATACATCTGAATACTGATGAACTACTAATAAATAACCATGATTTCGCTGAAGAAAACGGGAAAATAGGATGGTTACCATTAGTGATCACTACCAGTAGCCGACTTCACCATGGAAAATGACCTGCTTTTAGGTCGAGTCTTTGTGCAGATAATCCCCCCCCCATTTCTGCTAGTGAAATGCCATATTTGGATGGCAATATATGCCAATATCCAGCTATTTATATATATATACATATGTACACATGTATGTATACATATTGCCATTTCTGGATTGATTATTTACATCTTCACTTTTTGATGATTTATGATGTTAGTCAATTTCACTTTATTCCCATTCAAGTTCATGGCCAGCACTCCAAATGTTAGCGCCATCCCCCAGGGGTCCCAACTTTCGTTCCAGCGCGGAAAGGCTCAGGTTCCCTTCGCTCTTTCGCAACAAAGACCCGTCCTTCCGACCTTGGTGGCGCCAAGGTCAAGCGCCAAGGCGCAGTGCGGCGGCCGTATGGTGTTGTCAATGTTTCGGTACAGTATTACAAGAGAGAATGTTAAATATTAGTCATGTAATATATAATGCATTGAATTCTATGTCTATATACTATATATATATTACATTACATTGAATTCTATGTGTATACTGTAATATACATATTAATATGTATATATGACGGTCTGTCAAAATGTCTTCCGGTTTGGTTGGTAAATCGAAATTCCTTGCGTGCCGCTTCTTGTTTGGTCTTTAAAACCATGACTTATCTAAATAGTCTGAAAACCATGCATTGTATCATACAGTATTGTATCTTTCATGTTTGAAACCGTAGCAAAAACCTGCAGGAAATGCTAACGCACGTCTATATAGAGTGGGTGCCTCTGCTAGTTGTGGAACTGGAGGATTCTTTAATCTGCTGCAGGGCGTGTCGCTGCCTTTGCTGTCACTGTTTTTGGGGAACAGAAAGGATCAACTAAAAGTTCTCTGGCAGCGACTTTGTCACAGGTCAGCCAAAGCCGCTTTTTGCGACTGCTAGCGCATTGCCAGCGGGGATCTAGCGTGCAAAATTACGCACAAACTCACAAAATTGAACGACAATCTTAAAAATAAAGGAAAATGGTTGAGTAGCACAGGAATTCACTAAGACATCCTTAGGTTTAAGGCGCTAAGTGTTACAGTACATCTTATATAGCAGTTTTCATGTTGAAATAACAAGCAGTCAGGAACTGGTAAAAAAGAATATCTTTGAACATGGATGTGGCAAAAAGAAACAGCGCAAACCTACATAGTGGGTTTGCTGGCGCTGCCTTGCAGAATTGGTGAATTTAGTTGCGTGCCGCCTCATGACGAAGATGAAAAACCACTAGAAGCACGCTAATTATTAACCACTGGTACAAAACTTCTGTCCACTATTTTGGCAAATGGATGCAAATGGTCATATACAATTTGTATGTATGTACGTATAATTTCATATCTGCGTATTTGAGTGCATTCATCTGCGTATTCCGCCAAGCACATGTTCATTCGACCAGACGATTTCGGGTGACTTAGTCGACTTGCTAAGTAGTCTCCCTGGGCACAATCAGTCGATGGCTGGGCTAAGTCCAGTCCCCAATGATATATATATATATATAATTATATATATATACATATAACAGGATATAATGGAGGTATTAATGGGATATAATCCATAAATCCCTCAATTTTGGCTGGCAAACTATGTTTGTACAAGATGATGAGTCTACGTTCTAATGTAAAAATGACACACCCAGACCCCGCAAGTGACTCACGAAGTACCAAGCATAGGGCCGGCCCTGCCGCGAGGCCAACCAGTTCAGCGTGCTGGACTCCCATTTCGTGCGATGATTAAAATAGATTAAACTCACATTATCAAAGCATACCCTCTGGTAATTTAACATAGCTATTGAAAATGGCCATTTATAGTGGATTTACCCATGAAAAATAGGGATTTTCCATAGCTATGTTAGTTTACCAGAGGGTAATATCATATTAATATCCATGAATATCCCACATTGTCCTATGAATCAGGAAGATATGTTCCAGCCAAGTGACCTTTGAAAAAAGGCTACTGGAGATCCTACATGGGCCATGGGGCTGCTGGAGCAGGTCTTGAGGCCAAACCCACCTTGGCGATCACCACGGTGTCAGGGATCGTGAAGCCGAAGTTCTCCGCAAAGCCTTGGGGATGGTGGATGAAGAATGGTAACTAGTGATTACCCTCTGGTAATTTAACATAGCTATTGAAAATGACCATTAATAGTGGATTTTCCCATTCAACATGGTGATTTTCCATGCTATGTTAAATTACCAGAGGGTAGATGTAATGAGTACTTAGTAATTTGTAGTAATAGTAATATAATGAAATAATAACATATAATAACTATGATGTTTAACGTGTCGGTTGCTTCTTGGTGGCTATGGGAATGAAGTAACTGCAGGATGATTGCAGGATATCGCCCTTGGGGATGGTGAAGCTGTTGAATCACCCAACGCCCCGTTTCAACCTTGCCCATAGCGACGCACAACCGCGCACAACGAAGAGTTGTAGTCAATGTAGCTTTAAAAAAAGGAACTTCAAGCAACAACTCTTGGAATGTACATCTGGATAGATTAAAATTGAGGATGTCAGGACCAATCATGGACAAGGCCCCTGTAGGCCTTGAACGCCGGACGAGTTGGCTGGGGAAGTTGTGGTCAACTCCACCATTTCTAGGGTAGGAAAAGATCAGTTGAGGGTGATTCTTACGTCTTTTTACATGGTCAACATCTTTCGGGTCATGGGTTTCGGACATGAGAACATGGAGAGGGGCACTGGGCCCTTGAGATCTTTAGGGTGGGCAGACTTGGGACCTGGCCACGGTGCCGACCAAATCTGAACAAGTCGAAAGCTCTGCAAAAACAGCCCCTGAAAGCATCCTAAAGCCATGGAAAAAAAAAACACTGCAGCGATGCAGTACTAACAAATGTATACAAATGTCCCTCAAATCAGCTCAAGTCAAGTCCCCATGTGTCCCCATCCGCCCAAAATGCCAGAGCTCTTGAGCTCCTGACGGTTCTTTTTCCGATGGCCCCATCTCCAAAGGAGCTCGTAGAGCTCCACGATGCACCTTGATGGAGACGGGTGAGATGGTTTCTACCTGCAACGGGGGGGTCATTGATGAATAGAATATGTGAGGATATTGCGAAGTTTCCTGGCGTCCGCTTGAGGATGCATGTCTAAGCTGGATGTAAGTTGGTAAAGTGACAGACTGTCACTGCCTATTTAGTGGCCGAAGTAATTTAAGTGAATGTACCGACATAATGTACCTATCAATAATCATCAATATTAACTATCAATAATATTCAATTATATTCAATAATATTCAACAATCATCAATAATATTAACTGTCATTACCTATCTATAGTTACATTAATAATGCTAACAATCACCCTTCAGATGACTCAAATGACTTTTGAGTCATCCCCTGGCGATCCCGGCTCGCAGGGCACGCTGCGTTGTTCCCCCGAACGGAACATCTGCGCATCCTAAAAGGATGCCCAAGGATTTTTTGCACCAAGGGATCGCCAAGGGATGGCAATGTCCCGGGAAAATGAGGTTTCAACTGGTTTTCAGTTTTAAGCCACCGCTTTTTTGATCCTGGCTGTGGGCACTTTGATCAACAAACTCTGCGAAAAATCCTTCCTTTTTTGTGGTTCAACGAGTTTTATCCCCTCGTTTTGCGGCAGTTGGAGACCTCTAAAAGACCAAGATATGTTTCTTGTGGAAGGAGAAACCCCCGCGATCCCCTGGGTTTGTTGCACTGAAAGTGTCATTCTTGCATGGCAAATATCATAGTCACTTCGAGGTAGGAATCCAAACCACACCTATTGTGATCACATATTGCAGATCAGAAAACATGCTAATTGGAAGCACGATATCACTGTTCAACTACAATTAACACACCTGAAGGAAGTGATTTTTGGGATGATTCCCCCAATCTGAACCCTCATTTGCATTTCGGGTTACAATTATTGATGCCCAAGAGTGGATGATTTCATACTAAACTTGACCAATTTCGAGAGTCCGTTTGTACCCCATTCTTGACCAGCCATTTACAGTGAGGTCATTAGGGGTGAGTTCCACCAACAAGTGGCTGACACAATGGCGTAGTTGTAGGGTATACATCCCAGCTTTTGGAGGGTAAAGTACGATAGTTATACCTATAAAACTAACCCCTACTGCGCCCTGAAGTCATTGAAATAGATTTGCCCATTTGTCATGGGAATCCGCTCCTCCCTAGGAGAGACGATCGAAGCAAATTTCTTGCTCGACACATCCTCCGGGGTTGTCGCGGGGTTGAGGTCGGGCCCGAAATGGATGGAAAGTCTCACTCTTTCACTGGTGCTTTCAACCTTAAAAAATGTGCTCGTCAGTTGGGATAATCATCCGATTCCCAGGGTTTATATAACTTATTATATAACTATTATATAACTATTTAAAAAAAATGACACCAGCAACCAGCTACATTGTCACTTCCCGGGTTCCAAGGGCTAAGTCCCACCAGGTGAAGAGCAGCTGAATCGGCATCTCCGACGACCCCGGGATTTTCGCTGTGATTTGGGGCAGAAATTCCCGTGTTGAACACCTACTTGTAGATGATTTTCCTATCATAATGATATATAAAGGGATATATAATGGATATATATATATATGGGATAATCATATATTATCATAATAATATATATATATACATATACATATGATTGCATTGGATGTCTTAATGGCCAAAACCATCAAAGCCTGTCAGGTCCTAAATGTTGACCCATCACCCCATCAATCGGCGGTTGTATCTGAAAACCCCTATTCGCCACGTGGCGAACCTGTCGGAAACCTTCGAAAATGGCAGATATCGAATATATACTGATAATATATGATATATATATATATGATTATCCCATATATATATATGGATATATATATATATAATGGATATATATAATTATATATGGGATATCACCCATACTGCATAAATGAACATGAATGGACATACATATATAAATATCAACCAAGTGTTTGTTGGATATCGAATACAATCATCTCCAATGGCAGAAAATAAATCCCTCAATGGAAATCTCCGACATTTTGGATCATGTTGGCTGGTTGAAGCTCCGTTTTCTGCTGGTGAAATGTCAGTTTGGTCAGAATTCCTCATGTTTTGATCTCTTTTGCTGGTAAATATACAACTAGTTCTTCTTCTCTTGAGTAAAATCGCAATTTTTGCTGTTCAAACTCCGCATCTTGGGGGAACTCCGAGCCCGGGGAGTAGCCTTCGCCAAAAGCCCCTGGCGCCTCGTCATAGACCTTGCGGATGTGTTCCATCTCATGGGGTAGCAGCGGAGCCATGGCCTCGCAGAACTCGATGTGGCAGGCAAATCGTCCCCCCATTGGCTTTTTCAATGGTGGAAAATGATTAGTTAATACCCTGGTTATACCACCATTGAAAAATTATCCACCATTGAAAAAGCCAATTGTTATATACCCATTATATCCCATTGTATGGTTATACCAATATATGGTTATACCATTATATCCCATTGTTATATACCCATTTAAGTTCACAATGAAAATGATTACCCTCTGGCTATGAGTGACTAACATCGCCATGGTATAGATGGCCCATAGAAATAGATGATTTTCCCAGCTAGATACCTCCATTTATTTTTGGGATTTTTCATGGCTATGTTGAATAACCAGATGGTATTAACCACAAGATTTTAACAACAGAGTTTTTTCAGATGAACCCTCTTGGTCGTTTTGGACTTCTGTAGACTCATGTATTTCGCATCTCTCAATGTCGTTTTTGTGGGAGGGGTACAAGTAAACTGAGTAGATTGTGTGGTTACATTGCATCACTACTCAAATATTACCCTTGAAATCTCTGTCTTTTTCGTTTCAGGTCACCACATGCCGCGAAATGATATCAAACAATTACTGCAAACCATAGCAAACCATATTGAAATTTTAAAACATCTTGAAATCATATAGAAACGACCAAAACAATGTTGCATACAGCAAACCAAACAAAACATACAAACGCAGAAATGCATGATGATTGTTGCCGCTGACCCATATGTTATCCATCTTACCATTCAACAAACGCCTGGCGCCATCGATATTTGTTGGCTGAATCCCCATCTTTCCAAGGGCCCCTGCCGAGGGCCGTGGCAAATGTTCCGCTCCCATGGCGAGGGCTCTTTTGCGGCACAGGGCCGGGATGGTGGATTTTTACTGCCTGGGATTCTGCGATGGTTATTTTCTTAATTTCCATCATATCCCATTCTGACTTTTAGAGTAAAGTAAACATATGGGAAAACCTTCATCTATATTCGATATTTTGCAAGGTTATAATGGAAACATCTATTAAGAGATGATTCGACATACCGACTTACAATATTTCAAACGGTGGTTTTCCATTGCCAGGTTATATTACCCGAGGCTAATTCCTGTGAAAGTGAATGTGATATGGTTGGTGGTGTGTCGCCCTGAAAGATCCTACTGAATTGTAGGTTCCAGGAAACCTACAGGTTTTGTGTTCCTTGTTTAGGTAGATTTTCCATGGTGAATTTGTGTTTGAATCAGGATCGTATGTCAAACCAAGCGATTGGTCTGGGAGGTCTTGGTTTGGCATGAGACTTTCGTATCATGTGTTGATCCAGCCTCCGTAGCTGCAGGTCAAACACCATGATGCCAGTGTCTATCAGCGAAAGCAATCACCCAATACCCGCAGGGTTCTCTCCCTCTCTCTCTATATTGTATATATTTAATTATATATATATTATTAATTATTATTATTAATAATAATTATTATTAATTCGTATTATTTACAATTATTATTAATACATATTATTAATTATTATTAATAATTATTGATCATTATTAATAATTATTGAGTATTATTAATAATTCTTAACTATTATTAATAATTATTAATCATTATTAATTATTATTAATTATCATTAATAATCATTAATTATTATTAATATTTATTAAGTATTATTAATAATCATTATTGATCATCATCATTACAAATATCATATGTTATGCTATATGTCATTTACGATCTATAATGTATTATATGATATATGTTATTCATTATATATAGTATAGTGTGTATTTTGTATTATGTATTATTTGTCATATATAATATAATTATATACTATATAATTATCTATTATATAATCATATATTATATAGTATGTATATATGTGTATATTATATCATATTATAACATTATATATCACATACTATATATTATATCTTATGTCTTATGTCTTATATATTATATATTATATATATGTTATATATTATATATTGAATGTTATATATTAGGTATTAAATATAAGTGTGGCAATAGTTTCCCAATGTTATCGACCACCGCCCCCACCGCCCACCCTGGTGGTTCAATAATATGTCACATTAGGACTTTTCTTTTGTTTCCCAATAATCACTTCTGGCACCAAACAAATGGAATCTTCATTCAATATTGTAAATGTCAAAAATGATGTAGATATATCATATATTATATAGTATATATTATTTAGTGGATATTGGAAAAAAGTTAAATAGTATGTATTAAGTATTATATAGTATGTAATACAGTCTAATGTATTATGTATTATATTACTGTATATATTATGATATATACTATATACTATATTTTTTGCATCATACATTAGGCATTATAAATTATATATCATATATTATATATTAAATTTTATATCTCATATCTCATATATATATGTATAATATACTACATATTCGTACTACATATATTATATGTGTTATATGTTTCAATGGGGTTTATGCACTACATATATTATATTGTGCATTGTATAGTATATGTGTTGTCTTTAATGTTGTGTTATTATATTGCATAATGTATGTATACTATGTATTATGTATCTTACATATATCTGAAATATGATATATATATATCGATTATATACTGTATATTAAATGTATATTACATATATAGTATATTACACCTATTATATTAATATGATACATATATAATATATATAATAGATTATAATAGATACAATACATTATATCATATGTATATGTATATGAGCACATGTACACAGATAGAGAGGAAGAGAGCGCAAGAAATTAGATGGATTAGCACCATCTAAGATCAACCGTGTGGCTCATGTTCATGTTTCAAATATTCGACTGTGCACACTTTTAATGATTTTGATTTCACCCTCGACGCTGGCCCTTTTCTTAATGAAGGCATCGTCTGGGGCGTGGATCGTCCATTCACCTGCATACGCTTTCGCGCGTGTCATGGTCTATGCAGGACGAGTGCATCACGAATGGCCTTTGTGGCTCATCCATCTTGTGCGCCCGCAAATTCAAAAGCGCTCGGGTGCTTTTTCCTAGTTTGCCTGTGTGCAGCCAATGAAGCCATTTCATAGGAGCTTCTGCTGCCATTGTCCACTTTTTGGCTACACACGGGACTTCAAGGGATACATCTAGAAGCGTTTACCGAAACTCGCCGAAGACCGACTACTTCAGTGGCGGTTACCACCACCGACCCATCAGAAGCGTTGCTGATGGCGCATGTGTCCGGCAAAGGTTCATCGCTGGGCACACCAGGTCGCTTCCTAGAACTGCATCCCAGGGATGGACATGGCCCACGAAGCACCACTGCTGCAAGACGTGATGGTTTTGCTGACTGCTACGGAAAATTGAAAAGGATTGGAATATGGCACATATTGCCACATTGCTTCTATATGTTACCTGATACCTGAAGTGAAGTCTCCCATTTTGCTGCCAGCGCGGCGGTTCAGAGTGATGTGCTGGACATGTCACAGGAGTTTCAATCACCACAGCAGTAGTACATCCTGATGGGCTCACCACAAAAATCCTGTACATAGCATGCATTTCTGGGCCAGACCCCAACGACTGAGACTTCAGCGTTGCAAAGTGGTTCGCACTGACTCTGGTTGCAAAGCAAAATACTCAGCTGGATGATGAAAAAGGGAAATATGTGTTCCCATCAGATGCTGGATTTCCTTTAAAAAGGTCCCTTCAACCAATCCAATGATCAGTTGAATTAGAATTTCAAGCGATGTTTCAGACCGCACTAAACACTTTAGGATCAAAATGACTAAGTTCGACTAAATTTCAGCTTTAGGATCAAACACGGCTATCCAGAATTTAAACGCACTCTGCTAGCTTCCCCTGGAGTTGTGTTTCATACATAATTAATGTGTATGTCTGTATGTCTGTATGTCTGTCTGCCTGTCTGCCTGTCTGCCTGTCTGCCTGTCTGCCTGTCTGCCTGTCTGTCTGTCTGTCTGCATGTCTGTATGCCTGTATGCCTGTATGTCTGTATGTCTGTATGTCTGTATGTCTGTATGTCTGTATGTCTGTATGTCTGTATGTCTGTATGTCTGTGTGTATGTATGTATGTATGTATGTATGTATGTATGTATGTATGTATGTATGTATGTATGTATGTATGTATGTATGTATGTATGTATGTATGTATGTATGTACATGTATGTATGTACATGTATATGTACATGTATATGTATATGTGTATGAATATGTATATGCATATGTTGTATATGTTGTATATGTTGTATATGTGTGTATGTGTATGTGTATGTATATGTATATGTATATGTATATGTATATATATATATGTATGTATATGTGTATGTTTGTATGTATGTATGTGTATATGTATATGTGTATGTGTATGTGTATGTATATGTGTACGTGTATGTGTATGTATATGTGTATGTGTAAATGTATGAATGAATGAATGAATGAATGAATGAATGAATGAATAAATGTATGTATACGTATATGTATGGATGTATACGTATACGTATATGTATGTATACGTATATGTATGTATACATGTATACATGTATACAAGTATTATACATATATACATATATACATATATACATACATACATATATACATATACGTATACATACATGTATATATGTATACATGTATACATGTATGTATGTATGTATGTACGTATGTACATATGTATACATGGGTGTACATGTAGTAGACCTTGCTTGGAAACCACTAAATGTTAAAACCTTCACAAGGTCTGTTGCTGACTTTCAGCCGCCGTTGAGCCGCTCCGCCAGAGCCCGGCAGCCGCTGTGCCGTGGAACTTCATAGCGGATCTCCGGCAGAATTCTGGGAGGATGAAGGAATTGGCACCGAACACTCCGGACAACCTGCACGTGAGCCGGGCCCCAGGAAAGAAACGAAAATGACAAACCAAATGTTGGAGGTTCAGCCCCATTTTTTCGCTATGTGCTCACCCAGGACAGCCGAGATGCTGCCTCCTCCCCTCTAGCACTGGCACCAGATGGCACCCTCATGTGGAGGTGGTGCATGTACCTGTGGACAGGTCATGAGAAGGTCTGTAGTAAAATCGAATCTGATCCTCATTCCTTCTCCCCCAAACAGAAAATCGACTCCTTCCAGGTCAACAACTATTGACAACTTTCGAAGTGTATCTCTTGTAAATGGTTGAATCCATGCAGCTGTGTGTTGCATGGTAGCGATGTGTTACAACAAACATCTTGGGGCCTCCAAGCAGGGTCATTGCAAGGGGCATTGCAAAGAGTAAACCATCCACTTTCTAGGAGGTACTCAATTTCGTCCTAATCTGCCAGAAACCCACAGTCTGTCTTTGGAAGTGAACTTGATAGAAGATTCTGCAAGTTTCCTGCTGGGTTGAACGCCCATTCCCAGGTTGCATTCGGCAGGATCGGTATTGCATGGCCACCATTTGTAGCCTCGCAGGCACGGAGAACATGTGGTTGTTGAGAAACTGTCCAAAATTCTGCCGGCCAATTCCAACCGACTGGGTCGATCAAATTCTATTGCACGCAAAAAATCACATAGATATATGGAAAGCCCACCATTTGTAGATCATTTTTTGAAAAAAATGAACATTGATTTCCATTTGCACCGAAAAGTGGAAAGTATGATGAAAGAATATGAAATATGTATTCAATATTATTCAACATCATCGAACTGACCTTGAACTGACCTCCTGGTTTCACAGCTGCATCGGGGATGGCATGGTCACACTGAGGGCCAGGCCCTCAGCACATTTCTGGCAATTCCTGAGGCCGTGGCTCCAGACACCAAAACTTCCATCCAGTTCATAGGGGAACCTATGATTTATGTATCTATAATATATTGATACATATATTGATACATATATATATATATATT